CAGACATAATTAAATAAACAGACATATTAGTATTGATAAATACAATCTAATTATAGATTAAAAATTAATTACAAAACGTTTTAAAACAATGCATGCCTATCCATAACTAAAGAAAAAAATTAGATGTAGGTCAAGAATATGTAACAAATTCTAAATAAAATAAGACATTATTTTAAACATGAAACAAGATTTAAAAATATTGACGCTTAGATTTTTATACATCAAAATTAAAGATAACATGACCATTTTGAAACTTTTTTTTATAGCATTTAATGCGTTTAACTCGTAAAATCTACTGATACTCCGTATAAAGAAAACTACTTAAATTAGGAATAAGTCCCTTAGAAGCGCTATATAAATTTATTTATTTCAATAATAAACTAAAAATCTTGCCGTCTTAAATTCACATAGGAAATGCCATTGAAATGGTTCATTCAAAAAATTGTTTGGAACGCGTTTGGAAGGAGGCGGGGTTTGACGTCATAAAATACGTCATCACTGTCCCTGTCTATTTAGTTTTAAATATTTCTTAATGAAGATAAATATTAACGGCTATTATTAAGCTATTATTATTACTAGATATTATAAACTTCAGCTAATTCGAAAACATATTTTATGAGATATAGCGTAATTCAAAGCGTTTTACGGTATCAAAAGTCAAAATGTTGATCCATTTTTTGTATGTAATTAGACTAACTAAAAGGTAGTCTAATTAAATATAAAAACAAAACTTAAAATGGCAGTTATTCGCAAACAATGAGTATTTCCAGTCTTTGAGTCTAACAAATACTAGCGATAATACGATTTTATCCCACGTGTTACACTAGTTAGTAACTGACATATTTATCTGAAAAATATTTACATATTTATTGAAAAAATATTTACATATTTATTTAAAAAAGTATTTAAATTTGTTTTTCTTTGTCTGGAACAGAATTCAAAACGAGAATACATAAAAAAAAACTCTATGAATGATCACTTAATCACAAATCAAGAGTTTGCATACATTTTCAGTAGCATAGTAAAATCTGAACACAAAATTACTCAACACTACACTCCTCTTTCGTGAATTATTTTACATCTGAAAATTCCAATTTTGGCGAATGTCTTAGAATTGTCTGATGCCAAGTTTTGATTTTCGTAATCAAGCATTTGGAGTTATTTCTTGCTATCAACGAAACATCGATAAATCTACAGAAGTTTTCTTCTATTTAACAAAAAGTATATATATTTTGTGTTTTGTAGCTACAATACATTGATAAACATCGTAATTTTTACCTATTTATTCTTTTTTCAAAATGCTCCATTTCTAACCGTTTCAACTCTTTTAAGCCTATTTCGAATTTATTTCAATATCCCTATCTCGATAATGTGCGTGCATTACAAACTAGCTTTTTTTAAAAATAAATTAGTATGTGTATGCTTCCTAAATTAATTGTTTTTACACAATTGTATCGTAAACTTTGTTGTAAATATTAGCTCTGTTTCAATTGAATATATGCTGTTATTGCATTGTAGTAATATATATTTTTTAAAGTTTTCTGTAGTATATGAACCAAGCCTCAGTGATCATAATTAAATTTAATAGATTTCAAGATTTATGCTAATAACTAAGCAATGAGCGAAAATTAACAAGTAATCCTCAGTATTTTTATGGTGATTACGGATTCTATTTATTATTTTTGTTTATCTGTGGCGAAGAATAATGCTTTGGTATCTAAGTTGCTTTGAAATAAAGTATATTGTTTATATACAGTGCGTGAAATAAAAAGATATTACCCTGAATAATTTTTGTTCGAAGGATTGGATTTTGACAAATTAAATGCCAATCTCAGTTATTTAAAGAGGAGATTTCAAATATTCTAATTATTTTTACTAACGATTTCTTAATGAATTTTCAGAAATTTTGCTTGTACCTCGAGAACTTCTTAAGAGAATCGAAAATCTTTTGATTATAATAATCCGCAGATAATATTCCATGAAAAAGGAATTTTTATTACTTTTTAACTGTATTATTCAATAAGGCTCAAAGTTGTATAGAATTGTAAGGTGCATACATATTCTCACTATTTTAAACTGTAAAATTTTTAAAGTCTAAATACGAAATTTAAACAAAAATGGGTAAATAGTTCTTGAGAAATAATATTTTAAATAGCATCTTTTTCTAATTTTAGAAAATTTTGAACCGACTTTTCTTAAAATTATGTTTTTGTCTCTGTTTCCGTAATCTAGTTATATATATATATANTTAATGGTTTGGGTTCTTAAATATCAAACAATATTTGTTTGTGTGTGTTAGTTAGTTAGAAGTGCTTACAAAACAAAAAGGAAATATTTTGATGAAACAAAAAGGAAGAGAAGAAGCAAAAAGGAAATATTTAAGAAACAGAAAGGAAATATTTTGATAAAAGGACACCGTTAAAAGGTTTATATATTAAATATTTTAAAAAGGTTTACATATTAAATACATTTTTAAAAAAAATCTTTTTTTTTTAAATATTAGGAAATTTTGGATTTAAAAATGACAGTATAAACTCGAGTTTGAATGTCTTTAGATATTGGTTAATAATTTGAATACTAAAATTAAAGAATCTTTGTTTGTTAGCTAAGTTTTAAATAAGAATAGGCATGAAAATGGTTAAAGTGTTTTGAAAGAAAATTTTTGTGATTCCAATTAAACTATTCTTGGTAAAACACAAGTATGAAAGGTAAGAAAAAAAAACTTCTTGATGGTTTGAAATCTTTACGTTCGTTACAATGCTTTTTACATTAGTATACATATAGTATATATTTATGTATGTATATATAGGTATATATATGTATGTATATGTATATATATGTATATATATATACATATATATTTATCATATTTCTTACAGAATACTGCCGACTTGGCTTCCCAAACTTACTATTTTTTCATTTGAAAGTATCCATTTTCGAAAATTTGCAGTATCACAATCACAAATCCATGGATTACCAGATAATGTCAGTTGTTGAAAGTTATAGACATTCCTGAGCGATGTCGTGTTTATTGCTTTGAACCTGTTGTTGTGTAGAAATAGATGTCTTAGACCAACAGGTAATCGTGCACTTTCTAAAGTATCTAAGTTGTTGTTGGAAAGGTTCATTTCCCCTATACTATCCACAATTACGATGTCACCCGTGTTCTTTTTAAATTGAGGTTGAAAAGTAATTTTCAGGAGAGATGAATCCTGAAAANAAAAAAAAAAAAAAAAAAAAAAAAAAAAAAAAAAAAAAAAAAAAAGAGGAAAGAAAAAAAGAAAAGCAATGTCTTTTTCATACAGACTGCTTCTAAATGATCACTCTCAAAATTCATGAAAATATGCACATAAGGGACACATAATAAGTATATAAGTTAACAAGAAAAGGAAAAAACAATTTTGAAATTATTCAAATCACTACTGAGGAAGGTAGAACTAGATCCATAAAAACTCGTTTATTTTCTGAAATAACGGACAAGAGCTGGAAGGGGATTAAAAGAAACAATTTTTCTAACGGTTCTCCCTTCCAATTTGAATATCGTTATCTTTCTTCCACGACTGAATATTAATTACCATTTCTAATATGCATTCTTTTTAATTTCATTACCTGGCCGGGATTTAGAAAATACCAAATGATTTCTGAACACCCTGTATGCAAGAAGTTCAAACGAATATTTGCGTATTAATCTTAAGTTTGATACTTAAAATATATGTCTTGTGATATATTTTATGGACTGACGCAAAGATAAACACACTTCCTGAGAGAAATTAGCTGTTTTCATTGCCTTAATTACTATGTTGTTTATTTCTCTCATTTAATATAGATATACAAAATATAAAATATCTGTTCTACTTTTAATATATTTTCACTTTGAAATTCTAAAAATCCTTGCTATTGTTAGTCTGAAAATCATCCTATTTGTTCTCTGACTTGTCTAAAGAACGTTATTCTGATGCAACAAACACGTGATTTTGACGTAACTTATTCCTGAAAAATGTATAACCAACAAGTCAAAGTATATTGTCCGCCCTTTTTTCTCAGGAGTATTATCTGAAATTTTGAATTTTTTCGTTTGTTATACATATGAGAGATCAGTTTTATTTGTGATTCATAGATATTGCTGTAATCAATATAAAAGATGCAAGAAGCGATAAGTAGTTACAAAGAATAAAACACGCTAATGTAAAATGGCACAAAAAATTACCAATCAATTAAACAAAAAATTATAAAAATTACCAATCAATATCAGTTACCAACACTACTAACACCATATTATCAACAATTCTTCAGTAAATTTTAATCAAACTTTACAAACATATTTTATGGACTTATACATTTTACAAATTCATATAATATTATAGATTTTAATATTTTTAAATTTACCATTCCAATAGATCTTGAAATTGTTATGCAAAACATACTATACTGCGACAAATCCCTGTTCTTTTTACAGACTTTCTCTGTATATTTGATGGTTATATTGAGCAGTTATAACTGTTCTGCTGATATAACGGTTGTTTCTTTATTCGTCCTAATTATAAACCGATAAACCATCAGTTAAAATTCTAGTTTTGTGCATTGCCGTTTTGCTTACCGCGGGGATAATTCTACCTTTTTCCAAATTAATTTATTATTCTTTTCTATATTTGCTCCTATTTTAAAGTAATTATTATATGGTTTTGAACAACGTATAAATAAAACTGAATTTCTATTTTATTGTCAAAACAATACTGCCAAATCTCAGCTATGACTCCAATCTTGCACTGACCACAGACCAGACGTAAAATATTTTCAGTGATAAACGGATCACAGGTTAGAATCGCTTTGCCGTCGGGCTAAGCGTGGGAGGTTTTCATTATTTTCCTCTCATATAACCCAAATACAGGTGAGTTCTATTAAAAGTCCTGGTTTGTACCAATGCTTGGCCAAGGAATTACATTGTCTTCTGGGTTGGGTTCAAAATTATAAAGATACGGAGTTGAACATTGGTAGTCATAAACTCAGAATTGAGTCCGCTGTTCAATGCCGGTTAAAATTTTAAACAAAATAATGAGACATTAGAGCTGCGATAGCTTAGAGGACTAAGCGCTCGTCTTTCAGTAACACAGGTTCGAAACCCAGCGTGAACGGGTCGAATGAATGCTGCTCTCGGCTTGCAATGACTCCATTACTGACACAGTTATTTAGTAGAATTTTTTTTATTAAAATAACAGTGTCTGTTATGACAGCACTTATCATCTTAAAAACAGGTTAAATAACAGAATTTTTCCGTGAAGAAATGGTTTTATACTGGCACACCAGCATTTTTTTGTGTAAATTTAACAGATTTTCTTGCAGTGTATGGAAAAAACCATATTTAGAAAAACGAATATGTCAAAAATTAGACTAATATACCTCTGCACTATGTTCTGCCAGAAACTGGGGTAATGTCGAGATATTCCTAAAACTGCAATCCACAGCCATGAAGTATTTTTCAATGTCATTTGTACAGTAACACTCGCATGTTGATGGACAAGACTGCACATGATTTGGTGTGTACAGTAACACTGAACGGCAAAGATCAATATCTACATCAGTTTCTGACAAGTTTAGCCATTTAATAAAAGGAAGGAGCTCACAATCACAGCGAATAGGGTTATCTAAAGAATGAGCAGTAGTTGATTGAAAATTACTTTAACATTTTGGAAGAGCAATGCACAAAAAATAAGTAGTAGAAGTAGCAATACACAAGAGATAAAAACATCGCAAGTGTTATTTAACTAAGTTATAATTGTTGAAAATAACAAATAAATAAAACGAAAATACGATTTCGTGTATTCCTGCACCTGGAGTTCTCGAACTTTTCCAAATATTATTAACAATATTATATAATATAAATGTTAATAATTTTAGAGAAAATATCAGGAGGCAAAAATTACTAACCGTTTTTGAACACTTCGTTATTCGTTTACCATTTATAAGTCCATTGTGTACTTGAAAGTCATGCTAAGGATATTTAAAATCCAATGTGATATTTATTATTCTTATTTATTTATTAATTTGTTTATTTATTTACTGTTCTTTTTTTAGTATGGTGAAAAGGAAAATCAAACTCAGGTGAGGTACAGATCCGGTACTGTATTATTATTATTATATTTTATTTTAGTTTTTTGCATAGGTAGTGACAAGTGCAAACAAAATCATTTATGGTGTTTATCCAAATGCAATAGATGTTCGTATATCCCAAAGGAAATTTTCTAAGTTCAAATCTGCTAATTTTTATCTTTCAGACTCTATAACTTGGCACTTTGGATAATTCCATTGAGCACTTTCTTAAAGTTGCATCAAATTTGAACCATATTATGGTTTAATATTATCCGAAATTTTTAATAATGCATCGTAAAAAACTGGTTCAATTTATGGTACAAGGTACCGGCACTGAGATTGACAGAACTTTTACCGTAAAATTCAGTTATACCATAAAATTTTACGGAACAAAATATCTGCTATACTTTAATTTTTACAGTAATACGTACTATAAAATTACTGAATCACTGTAATTAAATCCATATTACTGTAAAATAGATTTCAAGGATGCTGCACCCAGGCTGCCAATACTTTTGAAATTTTTTTTTAATCAGGAATATTTTACACTGTAGCAATGATACTTTGCGCTAACTCATTTATTTAACTTCTTTCTTTATAAAGTTATTCGATATGAAATGTTAAAAAAAATAATAAGTTGATTTCTAGAAAATTATAAATTGAAAAGTAGCATAGTAGTTTAAAAAGTAGTTTTTCTCTACCTACAGTTTTCTTACAGCTTTAAAATAACGCCTCCTAGAAGAAAGAGGGCCTCTGCACGGGTTAATTTAGTATTCCAACATAAGGAACATTAACTTAACGAACAATTCAAGATTACACTACGTTAAAAGCATCGGATTTATCACTTAAGGTAATCAGGATTACTGAAATATTTCCTCGACGAGTAAGATCTTTAAAAAGTGCCGATTGATATCGAATACTATTAAATCTTTTCTATCTTTCAAAAGATGTTAGTAAATCTGGCGTATTAAATTTTGATTAACAGTAGCAACAGGTGTAACTAAAGAGTGATGACTATGTGAGGCGAAACACAAGTGGGACCTAATGCTGTTGTGAATAAATAATTATAATGTGTGTTATAATACATTTTAATTGACCACCATAGCAAAGAAAAGGCAACCATTGGTTGGTTTGTGGAATTCAAAAAGGATTGTCCGGAACAACTTTACAACAACGCATCGATATTTATTCCTTGGTGTACAGTAAAATAAAGTGTTGAAAAGTGCACATTTAAAAAAATTTTTTTTGGAAAATTAATGTAGATTTCCGCTATATTTATTGCAAGCATTCGAAATTCGTAAAGTCAAGTGCAAAATAATTTTTTATTCTTATTTTGTAAATTAAATAATATTACCTTTCTGATATTTTACACACGATCTCAAAATTTCACAAAATTTTCAAGCTCCAATTGAATCAGTCAAAGTGTAAATAAAAATAATGTTGTTATTACGCATATTGGAAGGGCTTTAAGAAATATAATGATAAGCCACATTTCTAAATTTGGTGAAAAATAGTAATACGTGTTTTTGGTGAAAAATTGTACGTAACCCATGCAGTTGATATACTTCTATGTAATATGCTGTCCCCGAGGAAAAATTCATTAAACTTGTAAAATACTTATTTTTAAAAAATACAAAGGCTGAAAACAATATTTTTGATAAAAATGTTATTCTTATAAGAAAATTTCTTTTGAAAATTTTTCACTAGCTTTTAGATCCTAAGATTATTTTCTATCATTTTCTACAGAAAATAATCTTAGGAAATAAATAGTGTATTTTGATGGAAAGTCTCCATCGACTATTTGTTGGAAACCTCCTAATAACAAGTAATATTATAACTAATAACTTGTTATTTATAAGTGTCCTTTAATGGCGCGTCAAATTTTTAAAACTTACCCCGTATATAGAGATATTTCAAAGAATTTGGCATATGTTCACTTCTTAAAGTCCTAATTCTGTTGTTCGTCAAGTCAAGGATCGACAATCGGGGTAACCAGCGAAGATCACTTCCAAGTGTAACAATTTTATTTCCAGAAATATTCAAATGAATTAAATCGACGAGACCAACGAATTCTCTCTCTTCGAGTACCTAAAAATTGATTTCGGTTAAAATTGGCATGAAGTGCTGTCAATTAAAATAATTTATTTGTCTCAGCCACGAATTCGTGTGTTAGTTATGTTTATGCATAGGATGCCCTAAGTGAGAATAACGATTTTTAAAACTTTTACAATTGTAAAATGGTTAAGGAAAAAAACTATATCTTGCAGCAAATTCATGCGATAGTGAATGAATATTTGTTCTCAGAATTTGTTTTTTTTTTTTACAAATCTTTTTTAACATATGGCGCTGCAAGTATTAAACAATAAATCAAAGAAAAAAACTCTGAAAACCGTGTCACGATTTTTCAAAATCCTATAATGTTTTCGAAATGTTCACCATCACATATTATAATAGACTTACAGAGTTTTTGTATTAAAATCTAAAAACAGAAAAAGCATTATAAGTGGGCCACAACATTAAAAAATTAATTAACAATTTAAAATTAATTAACAATTTAAAATTAATTAACAATTAATTAACAATTTTAACAATTTAAAGTTAATTATGTTACATTATTTAAGACATTTAGTGAAAGTAAGGATTATTAGATTTTCCTTTTAAAAAAATTATTAATTATGGTAGGAACTTTAGACTCGTTAATACATACAAAAAAAGAATTTTTAGACCAAGCCGATTTAATGGTAATGCAATTGCAAATCTTTTTAGCAAAATCCATTTTAAAGATTGTTCCACCAGAATAAAACATCTTCGAAATAAAAAAATAATAAAAATACAACCTGCAAAAAGATGAGTCTGAAAGCATATGAAAAGAGAACATATTTTTTATTTTATCATAGCAGCAAATCCGTCGGTCAAAACAACAAAACAGGAAAACGGGACAAAAAACTCACAGAAGAGGAACAACACGGGAAACCTTCTTTCAAAACAAGAAAGTAGCGCTGGAGAGATGCTTTCAGGAATGTCAGAAAAAATAGTCAAAGAGACCCCTCACGAGAAGCCCTGTTGCAATCAGTAGTCAATCATTGCATGGTAGGCAAGAGTTGTAGCCGTTTGTACTTTTTATACGTGATTCGCTCCATGTGTATAGACGTAATATAGTATCTGTTTTCAATTTCGTTTGGAATTCATCAAGACTCTCGACGCCGACGATGTTTCTAGTCACGAACAACCATCGCGAAATCCCTGAACTGGGGATAAAATAAGACGTGGATAACTTGAAGTGTTTATTTATGGCATTATGTGCTTAGTTGATTCGTGAATGTTATTTCACTGGGAACGGCTGGAGAGAGTTTTCTTAGATATGCTTGTTTACTCTCCGTACGTAATCCAGGTATGAAATGCATAAAGTAGCGATTTTTGAGGCGATTCATGCTCGAGTCGTTATAATATCTTTTTCATTTTGCTTCTCAGAGTGGAATACGTCACTATGGTTCATAAATATTGTTCGTCTGCATTGGTGCAATCACATATTTTTTTGTAAAAACAAATTAAGCCCGTGCTTTTCCGGTATAATAGAAAATATAGATATTTCAGAAAAAAAGAAATAGTTACTCACAGTTATAAAATTCGATGAAAGATTCAAGTACTTCAAACGAGGTAGTTGGTGAACAGTACTGTTCAGCGATTCCAGAAGATTGTAACTGAGATCTAGATAACCTAGGAAGTACTTACTGTAGAAGAATGAGCTATCGATCCATTTTATTTGATTTTTCTGAGCTTTAAATATTCTTATATCCGGAGATAAATAAAAATCTATCGTTTCTAACTGCCGTAACTCATTTCTGGCAACAGACAACTCCAGATAATGTTTTAGGGCATTGTCCAAGCTTCTTAGGCGGTTGTTGGCAAGATTAATTTTTCGCACATTATGCACTCGAACTGTAAATACATTGAATATTGATAGTTATTTTAAAAGACCATCAAACAAAAAGAAAATAGGCTTGAAATAAAGAATTTAAAATAATACAAAATGCAAGACAACAGCTAAAAGAAGTCTTTTGTGTCTTTTTAGCAGTTTGAAAAAAAAATGCTTAAAATTCCTTGCTGAAAAAATTTCTTAAAATTTTTTATCACTTAAATTCTAGAGTAAGCCTCCTTTAGTAATAACTTTTTTTTTAATATTCAGTAGAGATTTTGACGAGAAAAGTTTCTATGATTTATTTAAATGTTAAGTTGACGCTTTTACTTTACAAGTTTAATTTTAACATATTTTTAAATTTCATTTCTTCAGTGCTGTTGAATTGATATTAATAAAATTTCAGATTCTTTTTTACCTGTTAAACTATGTGGTTCAAGTCGAAGTAAAAAACTTAACTTGAGATGAGTGCATTTATGATTGAATTTGAGTATCAAGGTCAACTTAATAACCTTACGACTCAAAATTATTATGAAAAGCACTAAATTAAACTAGTTAATGTTTATTAAAGCAATTTTTGAAAACTTTATTGATGTATGCTAAGAATACTTAAATTATGAAATGGAATACTTAATTAAGATGAATAACTAATTATTTATATAACGAAATATACTTAATATTTTATTACTTTGATATTATTTATATAAACTTGATAACTGAAAAGAAAAATCGCACTGAGGAAAAAACTTTTTTGTTACATTAATCTATTGCAAATACTTTGTCTTGCTGAATCCGGGAGTAGAGATTTCAAATCTAAAATTAATTTTGCTTCTAAAGCTGAATTTTTTTAAAAACAACATTTTTAGTTTATTCTTCGTCGAAATGTAAAAGGGCTAATGTTATATATAACAGAGGGTCATTTAAATGTTGCTACAAACTTCTACGAGGGATAATGACACATTATCAGGATTAAAAGTGCACTGGAGAAAGAGTTCATAATAGGTAAGTGCCCTAGCGGAGTATGACGACTTTTTCCGGCACGGTTTCCTATGCAATTTTAATTCTGATGATGTGTCCTTACCACCGTAGAAGCTTGTAGCAATCTTCAAGCGGCCTTCTGTTATGTACAACTTCATTTAACTTGTACATTTAGACAAAAAATAGATTAAAAATGTCCTTTTAAAAATACTATAGCTTGTAGGGTGAAACAATTGTAGATTTGAAATCAGGGATGCGAAAGTATTTAAAATCTATAAAAAATCTCATGAAATAGAAATTTTTTTCTAGTGATATCATTATTATTGTTTCACAATATATATTAGTTTTGATTGTTCAAACAATAATATCGTTCATTGTTCAAAAAATAATAAGACTCTTTGCTCAAACAATTTAGTTCATTGTTCCAGTAATAGTTTTGTTCATTGTTCAAATGATAATTTTGTTCATTGTTCAAATGGTAGTTTTGCTCATTGTTCAAATAATAGTTTAATTCATTATTCAAATGATAGCTTTGTTCATTGTTCGAATCATAATTTTGTTAATTGTTCAAATAATATTGTTCTTAATTGTGAAAGGATTAAGTGTGCGTAAAATTTCACCTTTGAACTCTCGTATTAAGTTCCCTTCAAGCACCAGCTCAGACTTATAGTTACGAAATCCAAAGTCAATTCTCGTTGGATTTACTTTTTCTATCCTGTTGTAACTAAGATCCAGAACATGAAGATGTATTCGAAGATTATAATACTTATTTTCATTCAAGACCTGAATCAGACAGTGATCAAGGTACAGGTACCTCAACAGTGGAGCTTTACCATGAAGAAAATCAGAAGAAAGCTGTCTGATGGGGTTGTACGAAAGACGTAATGTAGTCAAATTCCATGTAATTGATGGTAAAATGGCGTCTAAATCAGTTATGTTGTTATAACCCAGATATATAGCCTAAGTTGGAAAAAAAAATAACAACAATGAATGCACATGTTCATTTAAATCAAGCGTTTTCGTAAGTCTTATGATATGTTATATTAAAATTAGGAAGTACCCAATTATCACTCACATAGTCCGGTTAAAATTGATTAATTAACTCAATTTAATTTATCAAATTAATCTGAATTAATTTAATTCAACGAATCGACTAATTTATAAATTCGCAAATAAGTTTATGTTTAAACATTCATAGGAATAAAAACACATATATTTCTTGACAAATAAAATTTTAACTAATAAAATAATGATATTTTAAATTGTTAATAAATGTAGAAATTCTTTTAAGGCATGAGCTCAACTTGTGAATTTAAAAAAAAGTGTTAAATCTTAAATAATATGAAGAAACGGAAATTTTGATTCCCCCCTCCCTTGATTTATCCCCTCTCCACTGTGATTTTTCTTATTCTATTTTTCCCTCTCGGCTATTGTGGTTTTTTCTAGTTTTGTTTCTCCCTCTTACTGTTCCATTTTTCGATGGAAACTTTATTCTTTCAGTTTTTTTTTAAATTTCAAATCACTTTTGTTTCGATTCATTCACGTCTGGCAAGTCTTGAAAATAGGAGACTATTTTTCAAAGCTTAAAATATGTTGACTGTTATTTCCAATTTGTATATTTGTGAAGCAAATGGGTCATTCGCACTGAAAAGGTATAAATAGACTAAAAAATTTTCATAAATTAAAGTAATTAAAAAAGTAATAAAAATTACATAAATGCCTTTATTTATTTTTGTTATATGTCCTTATAATAATGGTAAAGTTTTCTATTTTATTTTTTACAAGATTTAAAATATTTTAAATTCTGCCTTGTCCACGGAGGAGACATTTTATGTTATAAAATATGAAATGTCAATGAAGACTAATTCATTAATTATTGAGTACAACTGATATGAGTTTAACATTAATAAGTAAATAATAAAATATTTCATTATTAGAGATAAAGCTACTTCCGATTAATCATGCTGCTATGAAAGGAAACATCCATTTTTAAATTAGGTGTACAATTTTCTAAGTAACTCTTACTGAAAATTAATAAATTGAAATGTCAAGACTATTGAAATAAAATTTCAAGCTCCACATGAAAGTTGAGTGCTGAGGGTACTCTTTTATGAACATTTTATGCAAGTTAAACGTACTGTCATCCAAATAACGTTTTTGTTTTTTCTCTTTTCTTCTTGTTATTGTTTCTTTTTTCCCTGGGCACAAACGGCTTGTTCTATCAATTTATAAAAATTTAGGTACATTTAATCACGATGGTTTTGTTAAATCTTTTTCTGATATAGATTTCAAAGTTTTTTGCTCCTTTTTTCTTTTATTTTACTTTCTTTAAACAATATAGGGTTTTCTTTTAATTTCTGTCTAGATTGTCTCATAATAAGTTTTTTCTGTTCCCTTCTCTTTTGAATTTGAACATTTGATTGCTTTCTTTTTTTACATTTTCGTTTTACCATTTTCTTCCTAAAATTTGAAGAGAAAAAAAATGTTAAACATCACAGAAATTATTTAGAAAAATTGCCAATATTTACTTCTCATATAAGAAAAAGTTAAACTTAATTGATTTTCTTTAAAAATACTAACACATTTGTTCCATTTTAAAAAATATCAATTAAAAGAAAACAGTTTTTTAATTATTAAAATTGTCTTATGGTTATCTAACACATTGTCTCTTCCATTGACTGTGTCTTCTCCTCCGTGGACTTGTTATGTCCACGGAGGAGAAAAAAACTAGTTCTTGACTTTTACTGATTTTTAATTTTAAAGTTACAAAAATGGGGCAGTTCTTTTTATTAAATATACTATTTTTGCAATCTAAAATTCATCTATCAAAAAAAAAATTTTTTTTTCTCTTACCTTCCTTATGATGTCCACGGAGTATACGGTGAGAACTTTGCCAAACCCCAATTGAACACAACAATCCAAAACTGACACCAAAGAGAGCAAAAACAACTGATAGTTAACATTAGAAAATGGAATGGTTACCTTTACCAGCAGCTGTCTTATAGGGATTTCGCATATGCTGCCCTTTATTGCATATTTACCAACTATATTTATTGTTCATGGTGGGAGATTTCATTTTTGATGGACAAAGTTTACTAGTAATTTATTTTATAAAAATAAATATTTTTTTAAAAAAACATTAAATAAAAAGTTACTATAAACATTTAACTAGGTAAAACTGCAAAAATCATTAAAATAACATTTAAATTGTTTAACAGCCATTAAAAATTATTTTGTGTCACAGACGTAGGGACGTCCACGGAGGGGATTTTGAAGTTATGTTTATTAAAAAATAAGAATGAAATATTAAATAGGGGAGAGTTGGATAAAACGGGATAGTCGGACAAATCGGGATACGTCGCCTAGGGACCAGACTATTGCAGCTATCTAGCGGACGAAGAAAGAAACTTGTTATTTGACTGTGATTATATCATTTTCAGTGCGTACCGTCTCGAGATCACTATTTGATAGAAAATTGTAGGTCACAGAACTTTTTTACTCAATTTTTTTGCCTCTTTCTACATTTACGTGCGTTGTTTTTCACATTTTACTGCTTATATATATAGAATTACAATTCCGGTGAGTATTACATTTGATGAAGCATTTATTAACGAGTATTCTCATGTCTAGTCGATCTAATTTTTCTTTCTTGTTTAGGCAGAAGCCATGTTTGTTTTGAAAAGTGTCTGAGTCTGACAAAACGGGATACTTATGAGTTGGATAAAACGGGATAGAGTTTTTTTTATATCCCGTTCTATCCACCTATTTATTTGTTGGCCTAATACTTTTACTATATTATTATTACTATATCGAAAGAGAGGTAAAAAAGGCTCGTACAAATAGATTGACCCCTGGATTGGCCACAGTTGGACAGATAAGAGACAGTATTCAATGTTGAACAAGAAAAAACGCGTAAGCATGTATTGTTATTGGCTCTAGAAGAGAGATTATTTGCTATAACTCTAACGGACATACGAATGCTAGCATTTGAGTTAGCTGAGAGAAACAATATTAAGCATAATTTTGACACAGGGAAAAAAATGACTGGGAAGTGCTGGTTGTAATCATTTCTTGGCAGAGCTTAGCCTCCGAAATCCAGAACCCACGGGTATGGTCCGAGCAAAAAGGGTTTAATCGCACTACAGTTAAGCAGTTTTTTGAATTCTCTATTAAGTAAACATAGGATTACTCCAAATGATATTTATAATGTTGATGAAACAGGAATTCTAACAGTGCCAAACAAGCCTTCAAAAGTGTTGAGTCTACGAGGCAAGTGGGTAGCTTGTCTTCAGCCGAATGAGGAGTTTTGGTTACTGTTGAAACATGCATAAGTGCAGCTGGTATACTCGTATTCATCCCTCCTATGTTTGCATTTCCTCGAGTGAAGGAAAATCCAAGACTCACGGATGATGCATAAATACAATTTTTAGAAACTTTGCTTTACAGTTTTCTGTCACTTAATGATGTTTTTAGTTAGTTTTACACAAAAAATTAAACATTGTAAACCCTATCCCGTTTTGTCCGACCCAGGTATGCTAAAACGGGATATGTAAGAGTTTGGAAAATGATTTTTTTTCCTATTTCACAGTCATTGAAATTAGTTTAAAATATGTTTTTTCTGTGCTTCAATAAGTGACGTCGCTATAAAAAAAATAATGTGTTGTTCTCTTTAACAGATTTTCCGTAGTAAATAAAAACAATAATGGTATCCCGTTTTGTCCAACTTTCCCCTACATTCAGCAGAAATGCATATGATTTGTTAGTTAGAACTTTACGAAAAATGATGAAGAAAAATATTGAGAAATCTGCTGTATTTTCTAATATTTATTACTAAGGGACTTAAAAAATCACGTTTTTGTGAGAATGACCCAAATGAAGTTTTTAATGAAGTAATGATGTTAAATACTAAGTAATCTTAAGAAACGGAAGTGGAAATTTCGATTTTTTCCCTGATTCACCACTCTTGGTCACTGTGGTTTTTCTTGTTCTATTTTCCAACTTTTTTTTTCTCTCTCTGGTACTGCTGTTTTTTCTAGCTTTATTTTTTACCTTTACTTTTCCAATTTTCGATGGCAACTTTACGTTTTTTACGTAACTCACGATTTTAGACAGCTCACAATTACTCCCATAAATTTAAATCGACGACAATCTTACAAATTTATGAGCATTTTTAATCTCTTAATTTTTTAATCTCTAAATACGAGTACATTTGGAAGAACTGCTCGTTTTTAGAAGAATAATCACAGTGATGACTATACTAAATTATACTAAAAATAATCAAACTATTAAAAAAATAACTGTGTTTTAGAAAAATATTAATATGAGATTCATATCAACACTACTTACATGTGGACGAGCTAACGTAAATAGATCTTTAACGTGTAGCAGCTGATTATGAGAAAGTGACACGTTGCGCAGATTATCCCAGGGATCAAACAAATGAGGAGGCAAATATGAAAGCTTGTTATAAGAAAGATCGAAATGAATCACACTGTTTGTACCCTAAGAAAAAAAAATATCTCTCTTTAAAACTGTACTTTAAAACTTTTTTCATTTTTTTAATATTATTCTTGTATAAATTTGAAGCATAAAGAATAGTGTGTATATTCCTTATATTTCAAAAAAATTATTTTATGTTGTTTTTATTACAAATGCCACTTGACTATACCAGCAAGTCTGGCTTCGATAAAATCAAGCGAATTAAAGACAGAAGGGTTCTTGTTTTTCAGTGGCACCATTTATGGGCCAAAAAAACGTCTTTGCCGCACACATACGTTACAGTCCGTTTTAGAGGAAGGGCTCATTCTTAATCCTACCATTCCTCTGCAAATAGTAATTTTGACCTGATTTATCGAACAATCAATATTCGATTCAGTATCCTTTGAGGTTTTGATATTCTCTTTTAATAAATGCAGTAAAAATGAAAAAATAGTTTTTTCTTGAATATTTGTAGAAAGAAACAAAAATCACGAATTTGGCACTAAAGGATTTCTAAGAACGAAGTGCTTCGAAATCTTTTACGTATTTTGTCGGTACCTGAATAAATTTTTTTACATTATTTTTATTTTATAATTTTTTAGTTTTTCATCAAAATCAATGTTTAAGTCGCAATATTTCAAGATTTAAGTAGCAACATTTAAGACAATACTTAAAGTTACGCTTCAACACCTTGAATTTCAGGGGAAAAAAACGTTTTTTTTTACAAAGAAACATTTTGAAAATATTTAATTTCAAAGAAAAATAAAGAAATAATTGCGCATAATCGTACCAGGTAAAATATACTCACTCTAATGAGCACCTCCACTTCAGGTTTCGATAACTGCCTGAGTTCGGTGCAGAAATAAATCTATTAAGTTTTATATTTTCGTAGCCATTTTTAGTTTAAGCTACTCGTTGAGGATTCGATCGCACAAGTCTCTGTAGTTGCTGGATTGTTGATTTGTGCGTTTTTTAACCTGAAGTATCAACATATCTATCAGAGTTTTTAAGTGGGGTTTAAATTAGGAGAGCTTGCAGGTTATTCGAGATGCAATGGTGTGTGTGTGAATGTCCATGAAATCCGTCAAATACTCCTGCCTGAAAAACTTTACTGTTGTCCTCTTGAAAAACAGAAAATATCAATACCATAATCGACTTGAAAATACTGACTGAATGAGAATGCCTGTTCAGAATGTTAAAATAAATATCGGAATAAAATAAATATCAATCGGATCATTTTAAAAGTCACTGCAGTTATCAGTACTGATCCATAGCAAGAAAATATCTCCAAAACGTTACAGACCCACTTCTGAATTTTTATTATCTCTATGTGACTACTTTCTTTGATAATTTGGCTTAATATAAGATTTTTTTTCTTACTTCGCATGTAAGAATCCCTTTAATATCGTGTCTCAACTTTCTGAAAGCATTTACTTCATATAATTGGTAGAATTTAAACCAGACAGTAAGTAATAAACAAATATACTTACTATCTGGATAAACTATACCTTAAACAAATATACTATAACTTAAACAAATATTTTTCAAATTAGTAATTAATGATAACGATTCTTAAAATCAATAGCAATACTTTTTATCGATTGGTTTTAATCGGTGCACAGTTATTGTTTTGTTTATTGATTAAAATTAATTGTTTGTCTATAGCATGAACCAAAATTTAGATTGATTTGGTACTTTATACCCGACAATGCACTTGAGTAACCTTTAACGTGACCTTTATTTGAGCTTGACAAATTACACTGTGGGACACATTTATACAAATACTTGATCTTGCCTGATTCGGGTGTGAAAATTTCAAATCTGAAATAAGTTTTGCTGCTAAAGGTATAAGTTTTCTTTTCAATGGCACTTTTATCCTGTTGTTTTCCGAAATGTACAAGCATTATATCATGTAAATGTTGCGACAAACTTCTAAAGTCGAGTTACAGCACATCACCAGGATTAAAATTTCATATAAACCTATGTCCAGAAATATCCTCTTACGTGGATAGGAACGCTTCCCTATTATGGCATGTTCTAAAGTGAGCGAAGAAACGTTCTATAGCAGGGAAGTGTCTCAAGTGACACATGATAACATTTCCGGGCATGGGTTCCATGCCTTATTTCTCCTAAGAGTTTATCGCAACATTTACGCGATCCCCTGTTATATATATAACGTTATTAAACTTAAACATTTCGGCAAAAAATAGATTAAAAATATCATTAAAAAACAGCTGTAGCTTAGAGAGAGAAGCCGATTGCAGATTTGAAATCAGCGATGTAAAAATATCCATGATTTGCTAAAAAAAACTCATAAAAACTGCATTTTTTAAAATCTAAGTTTAAAGAAATGTGAAAAACATTGTAATAAATTTTTCAAAAAGTAATGTTTTCTTTCTTGATAAATTTGCCTATATTACGCATTAATAAAAACGTCCATATACACTTGTCAGAAAAAAATAGGTATAAGCATCAAATGTCTCCCCCCCCTTCCTTCTAGTTGTTATTTAAAATTTGAATACCCTTTCGGCTTTAAATTGTAAGGCTACGAAGTGTAGCATTAGTTTCTTCAACGCCAGTAATGAAAAAATAGGAAAAAGAGCAATTGGTCATCTTAAATTTAAAAAGAAGAAGATTTGCTGAATTGCGAGTGGTTTGGACCACAAAAATATAAGTACTGCTTATCTATCACTATGTTTAATTGACTCTTCCCATTGATTAAACAGTTTCCGTTCCCTTGTTATGTTTCATTTGATTGAACTTTTTCATGTACTTTTTGTCAATATAATTATTTTAAGATCTAAAAATAATCGAAAAAGTGACACCGAATCTATGCTTACCTCAAATACGTCTGAATCAATGTGCTGAATTGAATTATTAACGAAAGAAATGTACTCCAGAGAAGGAAGATTCTTAAGTGTGTCGCCTTTTAAGTATGTCAGCAAGCTGTTGTGAATTCTTAATTCACTAATTGAACTATAGACAGGTCGAAAGTTAGGAACTTCCTGCAAAAATGTAAATTGTAAAAATATCAAGTTTTTAAATATAAACTTATCTCTACCTTTTTGAATATGAGTTTATTTTCAGAGTATTTCAAGAGTATACTTACAATCAACGCGTACCAATGCTACTTGACAAAGTGACACCTATTCTTTTTATCACCTTAAAAAAGTCGCCTGTCAGTTATAACATTTAACACCGTACATTTGTTATTAAGATCTGATTTAACAATTATAAATGTTGAATTATAGTGATTTAACAAATATGAGTGTTGAACGAATATGAATTTACTTAGACTTGTAATTATATGTCACTAAGCAAATTTCATTCATCCGAGTGATTTTGCAATTTTTTGGAACACAAAATAGTATTGTTTGTTTCTGAATATGTTCTACTGGTTTTCTTTTCATGTCAATGAAGCCAAGGCATGAACTTAGACGTTTGAGGGACTCCAAATACAGTTTATTCTACAAAAGAAACTAACTTTTATTTATGATTTTTCCAAATCCTCTGTACACCCATATTCGTCCAGGCATGTTGTAACCTAAAGCATTATAATACATTGTATTAAATTCATTCTCTAATCAATTAATTCCAAATTTTCATTAAATTTTTCTTGCCAATTATAACAGACTGAAGAACTAAAACAAGTTGCTGCAAATTTAAATCTTAACTAAAATTAACTACTTAACTTAAATAACTTTGCTTCATATAACTTCTGAGCAGTAATATCTTTTGATTAATCAAATTGTAAAAATTAACAATCAAATCAACAATCAATTGTAAAAAATTATAACCAAACAGTAGGTAAGAACCAATTATTGTTTCTCGATATTTTAACGCAGCAGATGAACAGACAATGTGACAAGAGTCTATAACTGCTTAGTTTATGATTTAAACATTTGCCTTAATTTTTTGTAGACAGTAAGGAGATTCAACCAGTTCAATGCAATGAGTCTTTTTTTCTTTTCCTAGTGCAAGGAAGAAAATCTCACTTCCATAAAAAGAAAGCGCTTTCTTTTGATGTTGTATGTATACAGCAATGCAAGCTTTACTCAGTGAGTGTTGTTGGCAGCACTCACTGTGGTACAACTTGAATTGTGTCTACAACTTGCCTTACTGTGTATAACTTTTTGTAAATACAGCGGAGCAAATGTTAATAATAAGTTTTGGTTAGCAATTAACATTTCTACCTCACAAAATGAAAAAAAATCTCACGTTTCTATTACTAGTAGGATCTCAGAGCAGATATTAAATTTTTAAAAATCATTCAGTTCACCTTGGCTAAGTAAAGCGTTCTATTAACCCCTTCCTTCTCGCTCCCGTAAAAATGACGGGGTGAGGTTTCGCCCTCTATTTCTCGCTTCCGTGATATTTCCGTGTTGGAGTGTTCAGAAGTAACGCGCCAATAAAAATAAAACTAATTAATTTCTTTTGACTGGAAAACATTTTATTTCTCATTTTGCACACCAGATGGCAGCAGGATATTTTTAAGGTAATTATAGATAGTTAGTTTATTTTAAACTTAGATGTCAGCACTAATCAAATACGTAGTACAAATACAAAAAAATAGGCACTTTTATGACAGTTTTCTTGAAAATTAACCGATCGTTAAGGGGTTAAGAGAGAAAGATTACAGTATACGAACAATATATAGAAGACTAAATGTCTTACTTTTAAGGAGCTGTGGCGTACGTGAAATCTTCTCATGCTAAGCACACCTTCAAAAGCATTCTCATGAACATGATTGATATCGGGATTGTCCAGGATGAGACTGAAGACAATTAGTCCGTCTAGACTTCTGCTCGGAAAGGTTGTTACTCCTCCCTCGATTACGATTTCATAAGTTGCATTACGTTCATATATCGATCCATCAACCAAGTACTTAGTAGAAAACAGTTCCGTGGCATTCCAACAACTAACTTTTGCGATTATTTCAGAATTCTCACAACCACAATAAGGATCTAATTCACTGCATTTCACCTTGTAACTTTGCCCAAGACAATCATCGCCAATAAAATAACGATTAAAGCAATTACAACTTTGCAGCAGCTCGCTACATTTTTTAATGATGTTATCATCTTCCAAATCAAAATCTGTGCAGATTGCAAGAGCAAAGAAAGTTAGCACTAAGCAAATCCCATACATTTTTATCGCCGAATGGCACTATTAATAATAAATTAAGGTGCAATTTTTTTTTTATAGATCAATAAAAACTTTCAACTTACCATTGTAAGATTGAATAACAAAAGACTTCTCTTGCATAATAAAAGAATGCATCAAGATGACTGATATTTCATTTATTATTTATGCTCTGTCAAAATTTTATCCCCTTATTAACTTTGATTAACTGAAGCTCAAAGCTAAACAGTTGACACATCTTGTCGGCGATATCGACAACATCATATTATGATGATTAATGTTGCAGAACAGGATTCTTGAAGTATTGCTAAGATGTCTTCTACAGAATTAAAGGAAATGTATAAGTAGTAACGCAGATATAAATCACCCTTTAATTCTTAGTAGTTTTATAGCTTAGTAGTTTTCTTTTTTTTTCACCACTTCTAAATCTTTCCATTTTTGTCTAAATCTATTCACAAGTATCTATCATCCTTACTCTCATCGTATCTAACATCGTATCTATCATCATATCTATCATCATAATATCCCTTATATAAGATTGAGTTGATTTTTCATATATGGCATAGATTAAATATCACAGCACTATACATTTCTTCAAAATATTTTTATGGAGGGTTATTTTAACTTGATTCTACCCACCTAATTGCACTAAATTGTATCCTAAACATTAAATAAATCTTTAATCTATCCAATTAAATGCATTAATTGAAGAAACATGATTACCAAGCATGAAGTTGACATTGTTTACGATTACCAGAAAACTATTTTGATTCAGCAGAAAGACCTTTTTTTTACGACTATCAATTCCAACATCCCTTGCGACTTCCTTCAAAAACGGATGACAAAGGATAACAGCAGTAAGATCTATCTTCGATAAAAAGAATTAAATATTTCTAAATTTCATTGAATTTTCATGTTTAGTTATCCGACTATCAGAGATTACAAATGTTTGATATGTTACATTCGCATGTCGTGATAATCCATGGATATCACGGAGACATTTCATTAGTGCAAAGAGCATAAAATAGAATAAAAAAACAAAGAATAAATCTTGAGTTTTTGATGCAATGTGTAGGCAATCATCATGTGAGGAAAGGCTAACTTTAAATTGGTGTTTATTTGTATGGACGCTGTTCTAAATTTCGAAATCAGATCTTTACATTTTAGGATTCATTCATTCTTAATGGTTCGCGGGGATGACCTCAAATATGCTAATCAATTGGTGCAGTATTTTATGTTACGAAATCAGACACAAAAACGCACTTTCCCTGAACAAACATACCTTTTTTTCAACAGATTCGGGTTTCTGACCCCCAAGATATAAGGAGTAGCCGAAATCGGGAAATATTGTCCTTGTAGTTTGCTCAGGATAGCGATCCAAAGTTTGGACCCCTTAATGTTAATTTTACTTTTTTGTGTATTTCGCCATAACTCGAAACATTTCGAAGCGAATTGAAAGATTTTTGCACTCAAATACAGAATTCGTTTATCCAAAGATAATTTCGTGCAAAATATATTCTTTAGTTAGTAATTCTTTATTATTTTTTGTTATTTTATTAAACAGTCGAAAAATTTTTGAATTTTACAGTATACAATTTTTTACATCATTTTAAAGCATGTAATTTTATGCGGCGAAATACAAAATTTGAGCGAAATAGATAAAATAGTTCCTCAGAAATCAAATTTTAAATAAGTCATATATTTACGATTTCTCAAGAACTGTTCAACCAATTTCACTTAAATTTTGTATTTTAACGTATAAAATTACATACATTAGATTGATGTAAAAAATTGTATACCTTACAATTCAAAATTTTCAACTATTATTTAATAAAATAATAAAAAATAACAAATGTTTACTAAAAAACATTTTTTGGGTAAACAAATTTTATAATTGCGTGCAAATTTTTTTTAATTGACTTTAAAATTTCTGGGGATATGCGCAAAAAATCAAATTAACATTAAGCTGTCCAAACTATTGATCGCTCTCCTGACCAAACTATGAGGTGCATATTTCCCAGATGAAGGCTACCCCCTATATTTTGGGAGTCAGAAATCCGAATCTGTCGTAAAAAAGTATGTTTATTCAGAGAAAGTACGTTTTTGTGTCTGATTTCGTAACTTAAAATATTGGCTGCACAGATTAATTAGCATATTTGAATTTCCCCTCTTGAACCATTAAGAATGAGTCCTCCGATCATTAGATAAAAAGTTAATCATTGTGGTCAATTTGTTTGAAGTGCTGCGCATTAAATTACTATTTTTTTTAACTATTACTGAATTAAACAAGAAAAATTAATAAAGATAAAATTAAAAATTAAATAATAAGTATTTTTTAGTGTTGATTTATTTTTTTTAAAAATGAGTTTTATCCCTAATTGTTTTACAAATTTTTTTAGATTATTTACGTAGCGTTAGAGATGTGCCAAAATATACATATATAAGATGAAGTTAACGGTGAGAATTAACATTAACATAATTAAGATTCTCCTTTCTAGTGCTTAGGCTTATGCTTTTCCCCGAAAAACTTGTTTTTAAAAATTATTAAAAGTATACTATCTAAAGATGGTAGTTTTATCAAGTTTAATATTAAATAACCATTGAGCACTAAAACTAAACAATGAAAGGTTTTTTTTTTTGAGCAGAACATCAAATAAATTTTTAAAAGAAAAAAAATACTTGCTAGATTTTAACTGGGATAACACAAGATATTTTAAGTTTCAACTAAATATTTAAAAACTCACATATACTATTTCTCACATATATTATTCTCATATAAACTTACATATACTATTTCTAAATCAAATAAATAGGGGAGAGTGGGGTCAATTGTAACATTTTTTACTTAACTATTTTTAACTAACAAAAATTCAATATATTATTACTATTAACTGATAGATGAGTAAAGTAGACTATCCTCTACTATAAAAAAATTAAATACCTTATTTTAAATGTTATTGTATTAGTTATTAACAATTTTTGACAGTCGTGCACTTGTTACAATTGTTCCCACTTACGGGGTCAATTGTAACAGTTTATAAATTCAACTAAAACATAGTTAACTATACATATTATCATAGTTGTGATATATTTTTTAATGATCAAAATAGTAGTGATATTTTAGGAGTAAAAGTAATAATGAGCAGAGACCTAAAGGGTTAAACTTTTAACTTTAAGGGGTTAAAAATTTTAATTTATGCTGTGAAAGGTGACAAATAAAATAATGCACATGCAACATAATATAAATGATATAGGATACTATTGGTGGTTCTTAAAGAGTTAAGTAATGGTTTGTAAACATATTTTCAGCTGTTGCAATCGTCCCTTTACTTATTGTTACAATCGCCCCCAAGACGCCATTTCAGCTTCATTTGTTAAAAACAATGCTAGTTAATTAACAAAACTAATCTTTTTTTTGAAATGTTAATTAAGGTGTCCACTTGCATATTCGGTTAATAATTTTTATTTGTTTAAACAAAATTACTTTGTTACAATATAATATTCTAATACCAAAAAAAGTACTTGAAAATATCCATTGTGATGTAACTCTTTCAAAAGTACATAAAAATGGTTTGCCAGCAGGGGTGTACATGTAGATTTATTAGATACACCTTGTGCGCCACCTAGGAACCAAATTTTTGCTCTGTTACAATCGTACCCTGTAACAATTGACCCCACTCTCCCCTACTAAGCAACGTCACGTTTCTGTATTTGTCACAGTTCTATAATAGTAAAAAAAAAGAAAGAAATACGATAAATTTTCCTCTTAAATCAAAGTTTCAATTGAAAATTTTGATTTTTTTTTATTTCCTATTAATTACTTACTCTATTCATATGTATTTCTGAAATATAAAAATTTACAATATTTCTATATTCATGCCAAATGCATTATTATGTGATATATCCTACTTTAAACAAAGAAAAATCTATATTGATAATGACAACATATCAAAAAGCTTCGTGACAGAAATTGTTAGAATAACAATTATTTGTATTTATTGTTCCTTTAGTTTAAAAACTTAATGGCACGCGTCAAGCCTGCACACATGAATTAAATTCAAGATTAAACAAAATTTAAGAACATAAAATGATGAAAAGTTAACGATTTTAATCAAAGTATAATTTAATTTAGGTGCATTATGTTTATTTTCTTTAAGATTCGACATTCAAAACACACCAAGCGATTCGCAGAACTCAAATAAAATTACAAAATCAAACGATAAATTGTAGCGAATTTTATGAATTCATCGATAAAAATTTAGTCAAACGATTATCGTTTAAGAAATAAATTACTACTGTGGAATAAAAAATATGCAGTTTTCTATTCCGCATTAATTTTATTTTAGTTTTTAGCTAAAATATTTTGTTGTTTAATTAAATTTACTTTGATTAATTTTCTTTATTATGCGTGCATTATATTTGCATTTCATTCAGGTAAAATGAATCTAACTTACATGAGATTTAAAGTAAGTGAAACATCATTTTGTTTGTTGCAGAAGTGATACTGGGAATTTTGTTTTTGTCTGAAACAAAAAGAAAACAACCAGTGCAAGAGGGTAAGTGGAATTTATAGCGTTTTTATTGAAATATTTTTTAAAAATAAATTTCATTTCCTCTGTTTCAACTCTTGAACATACATTTAATATTATAGAGCATTTAATATGCTCGATAATATTAGTATAATAACAAGCATTTAATATTTCATACTAGTAAGAGATAACAAAATCACATCAAAATTTTACGTCATAAATTTAATGTATTCAGAATATATCAACTGTACTCTTCTTCCTTAATAATTTTTTTTCTAAAAAGTTGATAGAAACACTTATTATACCAAATTGTTCACCAAATTATAAAACAAGGTAATTTAAAAGAGTAAAATGTTGAAGATAATCACGTTTGCAAAAGTTTATTTATGACAAAATAAATGTTTAGAAGATTTTTTATAAAAAAAAAAAATTCTTTTTTATGTTATGTTTTATGTTATGTTATGTTTTCTCTTTGTTATGCCTGTGGGGACAGCCACATCGATCATGTCAACCTTCATCGATGACAAAGTACCCCAACATAGAATCGAGTTAACATGTCATATATACCAGTGAATTGGAATTATATTTTTGTAGTGGTAGATACACTACAGTACTCCTCCACCAGAATTTCATTTGTGATAGAATTCAATGAACGAATACCACTAGTTGATTCTTTGCTGTTTTGTGAGAAGCCGGGAGAACTGTACTAAGATCACCTTACTTTTTGAGTGCTGATCAAGAGAGCTGTATTAAGTTCACTGTCACGGTCTCTCCTGTGTTGCCTTTAGCAGTCGAATGCATACGTGGTGCGTGATGCAGACTGAGAAGCAACAGCGTGAGGAGGACAATGTCACAATCACAAGTAGCAAGTCAACCGTTCCATGTGGACCATCCATCGAAGTAGGCGTGTTCAAATCGTAGTGAGCGCTTCTGCCAATGTAGGCATGTTCACATCGCGCCCGAAGGTCACCAATGTGGGGACAGTTACATCGACCACGTCAACCTTCATCTATGAAAAAGTACCCCAACAAAGAATCGAGTTAACATGTCATATATCACTGAATTGGAATTATATTTTTGTAGCGGTAGATGCACTACATGTTCAAAATAATGAACTAAAGTAGATTGAATTGTTTAAAAGATTCCGCCTTTAAAATTTCTGGATTTGGGATACGATGTTTATTTTTTACAGATGATCGATTATATGATTTTAATTACTTGATTTTAGGAATTTTTTTTCGTATTTGAGTTGGTTTGCTTTCTAAATTGCAAAGTTTAGGCGAATGAAACATTGTGTCATCAAATCCAGTGTGCGAAAACCCTACTGGAAATGGTAAATTCCATTTCAGGGTCCATATTTTTTTATTCCGAACAACTTTTTACGAAAGTTACCCCGAAATTTGACGAAATTTTGATCTAATCGGCACAATCTTAAACGTTCAAGAGGATGACCTCAAACGAAATCAGACTTAAGAACGTTCTTTCTCTGAATTCCGTTCTTTCTCTGAATTCCCTTTTTTTCGACGGATTTGGATTTCTGACCTCCAAAATATAGGGGGTAGCCACAATCTGGGAAATAAGCCCTAAATAGTTTAGTCAGAAGAGCGGTTTAAACTTTGGATCCCTTAATGTTAATTTTACTTTTTTCGTATATCACCATACCTCGAGCATTTAAAGCGAATTAAGAATATTTTGCATACAATTATAAAATTCACTTATCCAAAGATATTTTCCTGCAAAAAAAAAAAACTTTTCGTAAACATTTATAATTATTTATAATTTTGTTTAATAACAGTCTAAATATTTTCGAACAGTAAGATATAAAATTTTTTATATCTTTTTAAAGAATATAATTCTATAAGGCAAAATAGAAAATTTGAATGAAATTGGTTCCTGAAAAATAGAATTTTAAAGAAGGCGTATTTTTCAAGCTTGATTTCTTAGGAAGTATACCAATGATCTTGCTCAAATTTTCTAGTTTGCTATATAAAATTACATTCCTTAAAAAGATGTGAAAAACAGCATACCTTACAATTGAATTTTTTTACTATTATAAATAAAAGATATTTACTAAAAGCTAGTTTATGCATGGAATTATGATTGGATTTTATCGACCCCTTATATTTTGGAAGTCAAAAATCGGTCGAGGAAAAAGTATGCTTATTTAGTGAAAGTAAGTCTTTTGTGTATGATTTTATAACTTAAAATATCGTCTGCACTAATTATTAGCCTATTTGAGGTCACCCTCTCAAATCATTGAGTCTCAGAACGTGAAGATCTGATAATTAGATCAAAAGTTATTCAGTGTGGTTCGTTTATTTTTTGCGCATTGCACACCTGCAAAAACCAACAGAAACAAAGATATTTTGAGATATTTTTAATTAAATATACACTCAGAGAGTGCAACCAGCAGTGAAATCAATAAGTTAACAAATGCCTACGAAGTGTTCTATTATAATTATAATTGCATCATCAAAAGAAATACATTTATCGAAATAAATAATGAGGTTCAATGACCCATGTCCAATGATCTACAAAATTTAAATCAATAATATCAATCAGTCGATATTTATATGTAAAGTCGATATTTATATTATTCATATGCAAGACACACCAGGCAGTCATTGAATGCATTGAATTACTAAGGTATTTTTAATAAAATATTTTTTTTCTTTTATTGCATGTCAACGTTTGTCTATCACTTCAGTTCATGCAACATTAAATAGTTGTCAGCTTTAACTTTAGTAGTTTTGGACAGTCGTTGACCAGATGTTGGAAGAACGTAGAAGAGTTTGTCCCAAAAGTATTTCTCACCCCAAGTGAGATAAGTCGTATTTTCTAAAGACATTTTGATATCAGGATGGAGATCATCAGGTAACTCTCCCAATTTGATGATTATGACGCGGTTTATTTTATCCTTCAGAGCTTGCAAATGGGCTGCACGAAACTCATATATGCACCACTCGCTTTCCAGGAAGTTCCTACAAATTCAATGACACTTTATTTAAAAAATTTACTGTAAGCACATTATACACCGAAGAGCCATTACATTATGACCACCCTCCTTCTATAACAATGGGCTCGCCAGGTTTTCATGGTTTCTCGCCCAGGAACAATGTTTTCATGGGGCACATTAGGACCCATAATCCTCATAGCACAATCCCTGACGTCTGTAAGCTACTTGAACATAGTTGCAGACCAGGTTCACCCATTCATGGCAACAGTTTTTCCTGCGGGGGATGGTGTTTACCTATAGGATAATGCACCATGTCATAAAGGTCGAATAGTCATGGATTGGCTCGAGAAGCATTCCAGTGACTTTCAATTTATGTCTTGGCCCCCAAATTCACTTGACCTTAATCCAATCGAGCATTTGTGGTCATACTTGGAAAACCAAAATCACGCTGCCACGCTACCCCCTCGCAATGTGAGGAAATTGCAGGACCAGTTGGTGAGCGCTTGGTACCAGATACCTCGGAGTACCTATCAGCACCTTGTGGAATCAATGCCACGGCGGGTGCTATCAGTTTTGAAGGCTAAAGGTGGTCCTACATGTTATTAGCAGGGTGGTCATAATGCAATAGATCTTCGGTGTATTTGTTATGTGATAAACTTTTTTGAGTGATAAAGAAAAAAAATTGGCCTTTCACTTTTTATAAATTTATGGGGTTTTATTTACGCTGTAGCTAGATTAGACAGCTAAAGCATATACTGCCTTCGACTAAGTCGTGGTGAATCAGCAAATAGAGCAATCGCCTCCAAATGAGGTGACCCAGATTTGTATCACAGCTATGGCTGGTCGGTATAAATTCCGCGTTTCGCGATTTTTTCGTGGATTTCCTCTCCATGTAATGCAGATGCGGGTTAGTTCCATAAGAAAGTCCTCCACAAAACCAAATTTCCCTCAATACTTGATCTAAGAGTTCCGTTGTCCTCTGAATTGGATTCAAAATTACAATGCTACGGAGTTAAACATTAGTAGTCGTACACTCAAAATTGGGTAGGTTGTTCAACGACGGCTATAAAAAATCGAAAGACTAAAGTTTTCGCTATTAGATTAATTTTATTTTTTTCCACGAGTTTATTTTTGCTAAATGACAGAAATTTCTGGTTTATTACAAGCGGAAAAAGTGTAATATTTTAGTTTATATTGAGCTATTTTATTAAAACATACAATAATTTCACAAATTTTGTGCTTTTGTAAATTCTAAGTGAAAACAGTTTAATGACAGTACATAATTTTTTATAAAAATGTCAAACTGTCATAAAACGATCCTGCAGAATGTCGAAACAGATTGCCTAAATCAACAATTACTGCTAAATGGCAGTATTTGTTGATACTATACTAAGCTATATGAAGTTTTATAATTAGTTTATATTGAGCTATTTTATCGAAACCTACGATTTTTTTCACATTGTGCATTTGCTCGCTCATAGGGAAATAAGTTTAATGATAGTACATAGTTTTTTTTTGTAAAAATGTCAAGCTGGGTAAAATAATTATTCAGAATCGCAAAGCAAATCTACTGATATTCAGAAAACAATAATGAAAGAATGACTTTTCGATATCAAAAGTTACCTTTGGTTACAAAAAACAACGAATTCTGACACATTTTGGTTATTTGTTTCTTTGTTGTTCAGTTTTGTTGTTATTAAATTTAAACTGAAGTTTAAATCTTCTAACATTAAATTTTTTTCTGAATTGAGCTATGCAGACAATTGAATGCTTTTTATGAATTAATGTTATGACAGAATTAATTATTTTTTAAAAAATGACGAGCTAATTAAAAATTATTTTAGCTCTATTCTAATATCTCTCGACCGACTCACACCTTTTCGCACATTGCCAATTTTTGGTATAGTTTATCTCCAACAAACTAAACAGGTGAAAAAAAATGTATTTATGAAAATTAACAGATTTTATCATGTGTGGGTAAATGAAATATTTCCGAACGCATAGACTACGCGATCAATTACACACGGCGGGAGAATCTTAAACAAAATAAAATGTGCAAAATAAAATAATATTCAATCGATATTTTTTGTAATCTGAATCTTACTTTGAGAGCATGATAACAGTCCTTTTCGAGTTTTGAACAGCATTAAAAATATTTTGGTCAATGAAATCCCCAGCTTTGAAGTGCTTGTAATGAAGACACAGTCTGGTCATAGGCTGTTTGACTTCTATCACTGAAACAATGCAAATATTAATGAGTTTTATTTGTTTACTTGCTGAATACCCGTTCTTCGCACGGAGTGAGTAAGAAAAAAATGAGCAAAGAATCAATAAATCAGTGTTGAGCAACATTACGAAATTATGCCCAGAACTGAAAAGCATATACTGACACAGAAGTGAAATTTTTAAAAGTGTTATGAATAAGAAAAAATAACAGAAAAATGGTTGTATCAATATGGGTATGTTTAATGTAACAGATCCTGCTTTTGCCTACTTAAATCTTAACACAATTTATCATATTAGTCTTTAGTATGCTTGCAGGATTTTTATTTTAAATTAGGCAGTGGTCAATAAAATGAAGCAAAGAATTATTAGTCCCTCCTTCTAATAAATTGGTATAAAATATTTCGGATACAGCTTTTTTTCGTTCTGCAAATGTCACTTTCAATTAATATAACTAAAGTAATTCCGCTTCTTTTTTATTTAATGTTATTTGTAGTCCTAATGGGTGGCCTTACGTATTCAAAATCATAGTGACGTATTCAAAATCATGGGTGGCCTCATAATATTCAAAATTTACCACTATCAAGTAAATTTCTCCGGTGCATATACCTTTCGAGGGACTGTAATATACTTATTTCCGAAGTATCTGTATTAAAACTCAGTATTGGACCTGTTTTAATAATCACCAAATATATCAACATTAGAATATTTAGTACTTATTACATAAACCCTTCAACATTTAAGTTTTGTGAAAAATACATTTGCCAGTGACAGTCAACTAAAGCTGAAATGTTTTTGAAAAAATTCTTATTAGTACTTGATAACAATTTTGGAGCATGACCATTTCTCTATCTGACCTATGGTCATCTGATCACTCTAAAAATTAGAAATTTGAAATTCGATTTACCGAAACTATTTTTAGCTTATTCTGCTTAAATTTTGTATTTAGTGAGGTAAAATTATACCTTTTAAAATAATGCAAAAAAAATTATACCTTACAATTTGAAATTTTTTCGACTATTGTTGAATAAAATAACAAAAAATAATAAATATTTATCAAAAGTTATTTTTTGCATTTCATTATCTTTGGACAAACGAATTTTATAATTGTTTAAATTTTTTTTTTTTAATTTGCTTAAAAAGTTCTCAAGATATAGCTAAATACGCATAAAGTAAAATTAACATCAAGGGTTTCAAACTATGGAGCGCTTTCCTGACCAAACTATAGTGAACATATTTCCCAGACTGCGGTTACCTTTATATTTTGGAGGTCAAAAATCCGAATCCTCCAAAAAAAAAGTAGGTTTATTCAGAGAAAGAACGTTTTTGTATATGATTTTGCAACTTAAAATATCGTCTGCACTTATTAATTAGCATATTTGAAATCCCCCTCCTCGAGACATTAAGATGTCCTAGAATGATCATTGGATCAAAAGTTAATCAGAGTGGTCCTTTTTTTTTGGCGCACTGTACATATTATCGTCAGTAGCAGTAGTACACAATTATTAAGCGTCATCTGTGAATGGCGATTTTTTACTTCGCTTTTTAACACATAGCTTATTTTATTTTATTTCAATTTATGCATATTATCAAGATTAATAAAGCATTAGGGTCAATAATAATATGGCGATTTTTACGGCTCTCTTAAAGGAAAAATAATCTTCTTCCCATTATGTTTGCATAATGGGAAGAAGTTTTACATAAGTTTTTTCATACCAATTTACGTATTACCAACATTATTTAAGCATCATTGTCGTCAATGACAGCATTACGATTTCTTACTCTTCTTGAGGGCAAATAAATATCTTTATATTCCATTACTTTTGTTTTCTAGTGCATAGCTTATTTTTTTTTCATTTCAAAATGAATATATTACCTTGATTAATTAAGAGTCAATAATAATAAGGCCAATAATAATATAGTGTTTTTTTACTTTTCGCTTTAAAGAATTAGTACTACACACACACATACTAATTTTGTCTTTTAATTTATATATTTTTTCTATTCGATTACCTTTAATTTTAAATAAAAATTTTTTTAGAAACACGTTTTAAGAAAATTATTATGGATAAAAAAAATGCGCGCTGTATCATACAACTTTAAAAGTATAAATTTGGTGATGTAGACCACGCGTGCTATTCGCGATCGCAACGAACTATAGGGGGCGTTGTTGTATGAGACGCATACCTGCGATTTCTATATGAACCGTCATTCAGTTACTCTGGAGACGTCTTTAATGTAGCGTGTAGCATTGTAACGTTCCTTCTTTAATGTGGCTTATTAAATTTAAAAAAGAAAAATGTTTGATATCCTTTCTTATACAACCGAAAACAAGATGGTATCTCTTTTTTTTTTAAAGAAGGAACATCCAAAAAACATCTGAAAAATATTTGTAAATAAACAGAAAAAAATATGTATCTTCTTATTAGAGTTAAAACCTAATGCCTGAGAAATAGTTTTACTAAATTTAATGATATAACCTGAAAGGCCTATTTAAACTTTACATTCCATAGTTTTAAGAATCATATTACTTCAAACATTAAAATAAGCAAAAAGTATACATAAGCTTCATAATTTTATGTAATTTAATTTTGTAAATAAAGTTTTTTGACAAGTAATTTTATCAAAAAATTTTAAGTTTTAATAAAAATCATTATTTAGAAACTGAAAAACGTAAAGTAAAGAATGCTTACGATACAAAAAAAAAAAAAAACAATTCTAAAAATTCCTTATATTAAAATAAACAACTTTCATGTTTTTTCTTTTTTGATTCATAATCGGACGTAGAAAACCATTCTATAGAAAACTATCATCAAGAAAAAAACTACTTAAAAGTAAAATTTTTTATTTTATAAAAATTAACACTTACCTGCTTTATAAATCAGAAGAATTCCAAAATGATTTGTTCTTCGATTTTTGTTACCATTTTTTAGTGCTACGAAAATGCGTCTTTGGGATTTGCCAAAAATAGAACAAGATGCAATTTTATTTTTTCTGGAGCGAAATATTTTGCCCATTGTCCACCGAAATCCGATAAACTACTTTGATTTTAAATAAAGTGTTTCGTTTTATGATTTGTCACAAAAATTTTAGGTGTAGATTGGCGGCACTTAAAAACAGCCAAATCTGTAGCTGCTGTGGCGTTAATACATAAGTACCGAATTTTTATTCATACTTTTCTGAATCATATTACTTGAAACATTAGAATATGCAAGAAGTATACATAAACACATAATGTTATACCATTTATGTTTTCAAAAAAAGTATTTTGACAACAATTTTTATCAAAAAATTATAAACTATAAAACGGAAAATAAAGAATTCTTAGGATAAAAAACGATTTTAAGAATTCTTTACATTGAAATAAAAACTTTCATATAGTTTCTTTTCTTATTATTCTTATAGTTCTTAATCAGACGTAAGAAACCATTCTGTATCATCAAATAGGAAAAAAAGTTTTACAAGCTAATTTTTTATTATAAAAATCTTAACACTTACCTTCTTTACAAATCCGTAGAGTTCCAAATGAAATGTTCCTCGTTTGAAAGTCTTATTTTCAAATAATATGTGCATAGATTATCCCTTTATTACTTTTAGATAACATACCACACATCAAAATTTTATAAATGTAAGATCTCGATATGAATTTGAATATGTAGCTTAAAAACAGAATAGCTGAATTCTAGTTGAAATTTATTAATAATCAGCACAAATGAATCTATTTCAAGTAGTTCGGATGATTCTTTATTGTTGTTTCCCGAATTATAAAGATACAGAAATATATTCTGTTCTATAACAAAGAAGAATTCTATAACTATTGCAGTTCTTGACGTTCTGAATTCACATTTCTTTATTGGAATGACGAAAGCAATGTTGACTTCATTTTAATTCGTAATGAATTGAAGACAGAAAAAATTATTTTACCGTAATATGCACATCTGTAACAGCAAATGACCATGAAATTGTAAGCTATGTTGTTGGTAATAGAAAGGTAAAAATTATTGAGAAATTGTTCTTCAAATGCTTGGCGTGTTCTGCTTCAATGTTTGGCATGTTCTGGTTAGTTTTTTCAAGTTCTACTGCTGTTCCTTAGGAAAATTTTGATTTTTATTTGGTACTAAGAAAATGGCGTCCGTCATGGCCGATGATTTTTATGGAACTAAATGAAAACGTGATAAATTAATGTCTGATATTTACAGGCTCCCGATAGAGGGCGTACTCGAGCGTTGCGAATCACGTAATGTTGTTCATTGAATTTAAATAGCGATACAAAATAATGGATATTTTAAATGCCTGCAAAAGCTATTTTTTTTATCAAATAGAGCTGTAAGCTAGTAATAATCACTGATGTTATCTTTAAAGTAAAAAATTTAATCATTTATAGTTAAATTTAAAGCAATGGCTAACGCTTAACCAATCAGAAAATTCCTTTTCTTTTTTTTCCTCATCCCGTTCGAACGGTTGTTCGTAGAATGTTCTAATGTCAGCAGTGACCTTCATAAGTTGTTATAACTATTTGTAGAAGCTAATGGTAAACGACTCAGCTTATAAAAAATTGGGACATCTGAGCTCTCTGGAATAAAACTCTCACATTTGATAATTCCGCAACCTTTAAGCAGCATTTCGTCACAAAAACACGTGATTTGCGACGAACACTCAAATCTATGACAAAAATCTGTCCTCAATTACGGAACCTCGTAGTAGTGCATTGCAAGATATTTCTAATTAGAATGAAGACTAGAATGATGGAAAATAACGTGACGATAAAGCCGACTGAATGAATGGTGATCAAGGAGTACCTCGTACCTGGATTCCTGGTTCGAATCTCGGTTTGGGTATGAGTATAATTTAACTCTCTGTCCTATCAGTCTTTATTGATTTGTGTGGATGACATTGATCTACCAATATGGTGCCCACGATAAAGTGATTATTAAAAAAGTTAAATATATTAGGCTCTACCAGTTTGTTTTTTTTTTGGAAAAAAAATAGAATGGTGAAATATTTTTTTTAAAATTTTAATGAAACTCGTTTCCTTGGAGAAATGACGATAGCTATTATGCCACTTTGATAAAATTTTTGGTCGGAGCATATACCAGGAAAAGGTATCAGAAGATTTCGTTAAATTTGAGCATTCATTTTTCACAGTGTGAAACTAAAACAGTAATAATTATTTTTTAATCACATCATTTTGTATTATATGTTAATATATTTTGAAAATCTTGTAGTTTTCTATTCAAGATATAAATGTAAGTGTAGAAGAGGAATGTAAAGCTTTATGTTATAAAATTAATAACATTCATGTTTCCTCTCATCTTTATCTGAGGACACTAATTAAAACTGACTAAGAATGATTCGGCTTGTTTAAATTATGCTAAATAATTTAAGCAAGACTCTTACCAGAAATAATGTCCGTGACGACGAGCTCTTGATCTTTATGGCTGAATGATAAGAATGCGTCGAAAATTTTATCCCTGTCGATATCTTTTTCCTTTACCCATATGACTCCATGTGCATAGAGCCAAGCATTGATGTTCATTTTATACCTTGTATGCACTATCTTCAAAACAGTGATGATCAAGAAGAAAGCTATTAAATTTGCAAAATAATATAAGTATTTCTATCATAAATATTTCTATTATAAATGTTTACGAAATGATTTTGAATGAAATTTTATAATAAATTTTTTTCTCTCTATATTATGCTATAAGCCGACCGGACTGTGTTGTGGTCAGGGAGCTGATCTCACACCAGAAAGGTTCTGGATTCGAATTCCGGACAAGGCATGGATGTTCTTTCATGATTTGTACTGTCCGTCCTTACTGTGGGAGCAACGTTGGCCCACCTAATATGGTGCCCATGAAAGAGTGGCCAACAAATCTGCCCTACTAGTACCTGAATGACGAGTGTCAATCGGGTGGACATTGGAAACAAAAAAAGTAAATTTTACGGTAAAACGACCCCTGACCCTGCAAATTATTAAGTTAGTAAATTCCGAGCATTAGTTCGGATTTTACATACTTAATAGTTTGAAGGGTCAGAAGTACTAAAAAAATTTGAAAAAAAGGAAGAATGAAATATTTGAAATCATTACGTTATTTTCCTCATATTTAAGGTCATCTAGTAAGGTTTTTATAACATGGAGCTTTTCCACGCAGTACAAAAAGTCAGAATTTGAAGGCACTCATTCATATTGTACTAATTTAATTTTCAGTTTCAACATGAAGCAGTAACTCACACTAAAGTGGATAAAGTAAAACAATTTTACTTTTAAAGGACATTAATTGAAGGACAAAGACAGAGCAAATTATTTAAGAGAAAATTATTCGTCTGAATTTCATCATCCTTTTCTCTTACTTAAATGTTGTTCACGGGTCCTAATGTGTAAATAATTCTCCATTGTTGACAATGATTTAAAAACAAACTAAGTATAGGTTACAGGTAGAGACTACAGATTATCTTATATTTAATAAATACCAACCAATAAATCCAAAAGCAACCGAAAAATATAATTCTATAAAGGTTTGGCATATATCCGTTTCATCTAGCGTCCATATAGCTTTTCCCTTCAGCAAATATTCTCCCGACTCCCCAACATTGCCACACAGTGTTTGATTCACATTTTTAATCTAAAAACAAAAAAATTAATGAATGAATAAACATCGATGTTATGAGAAAAAAAAGAGCATCTATTTAAAAGAATGAAATCTATATATTTTTTAAATAAACCTTTTTTTATAGTACGAATAATATCAATTATATAATTATATTCTCGATTTAAGAGGAAAGCTCACGATTAATGCCTGATCTTTGTCTCGTAGAAAGCGGCTTTTTCAACGCTTGACCTAATTAGTATTGGTCTGCTATTCAAAATAAATTGAAAATTGCAATACTAGGAAAAGAGCCGCGGTGGCTCAGGGGATAGAGCACTGACCTCCCAATCACGTGAACCCAGTTTCGAATCCCAGCGATGGCTGGTAGACACGAATTAAGCCCCCGTCTCGCAACGATCACACTGCTGACGTAAAATATCCTCAGTGGTAGACGAATCATGGGTTGGAGTCTCTCTGCCGTCAGCCTAACCATGTGGGGGTTTTCGTGGTTTTTTACTACACGTACTTCAAATGTGGGTAAGTTTCATTAAAAAGTCCTCCACGATGAAACATTTCCCCCTGTACTCCACTCAGGAGTTTCCCTGTCTTCTAGATTGGGTTCAAAATTACAATGCTGTGGAATTGAACATTGGTAGTTGTAAACTCAAAATTTTGTTTGCTGTTCAACAACGGTGATAAAATGAAATGCTATAGAAAACAAGTGAGGAGTGACAAGGAATCATGACTATAGAACTAGACCGTTATTAGAGTCCTAGGTCACCAAAAGTTAATTCATAAATGGAACAAACTACAATCGTCAGCAGTTTCATTTTTGTCAATGGAAAGTTTACACCTATGAAAAAATTTCATTTTTAAGCGTCTCTCCCAAACTCCCATTGACATTTTTGGATGAAATTTAGGATCGGGGCTAAATTTGCTCCCTTCGCCCATTATTGAAATTTCAGGATGGATTTCAGGAAATTTCATAAACGGTTCTGGATTTATAAGAAAGCGACACACTCATGATACACAAACTTTTCCCTTCATTATAGATTACTCAAGAAGCAGGCAGCACAAACAATAACAATAAGCTGTTTTGACTTGTCAAGGTGAATTTTTGCGCGTCAATTGTAGAGCCATTTTCTTAGTTTTTAATTTTAATTGGAAACACAACAGCATCATGATTCGGGTTGATAGAACTGGCAAGAAATGCTGTACCGTCAGAATAAAATCTTATTAGTATTCTATTATTTTCCTAGATATGAAGTAAACGTGATGTTTAAATGATATGTATATAGCAGGATTTAAAGTATACTTCCGTGTGGCACATTTACCTCATAGTTCCAAGTAGGCTAAGTATTCTGACTTCATTTTTTTTTCTAAAATTGTTGTCTCTCTGTCTAAAAGAGCTCGGAAGATGTCAGTAGGAATGTCAGATCTTTAAAGCTTAGTGATAAGGCGTTTGTGCCATACTCTAACAGATTTTTTAGTTATGTTCAACATAAACATCACTGTTGTTTCATTCTTAAAAAAGACTTGCCATTTTTATTATGTGAACTAGCTATTCTTTTCTGGAATCCAATATGTAATGCGTAGATGTTTTTGCTGTCCTTTTCGAATTAAAATTTTTAAGGAATTAAAAAAAAGTAAGTAAAAGATATATGCGTTCGCATAGGGAACTGAGGAGTCTTTTCTGGTTTAATCCCTTCCTTCTCGATCCCATGAAAATGACGGGGTGAGGATTCGCCCTCTATTTCTCGCTCCCGTGATACTTCCGGGCTGGAGTGTTCAGTAGTAACGCGTCAATAAGAATAAAACTAATTCATCTCTTTTGCCCGGAAAACATTTTATTTCTCATTTTACACGCCAGATGTCAGTACCAGGATATTTTTAAGGTAATTGTAGATAGTTAGTTTATTTTAAACTAGGTACTACACTGAAACTCGGTACTACTGCCCAGGTTGTGACGTTGGCCTCTGCATCTCATGCTTTGAAATTTATCACGCAAGAAAAAGTTGCTAATATTTATTCATTTTGTACGTAAGATTAATAAAATTCTTTTTCAATGTTTAAAACACATATTTTTGAAATTTTTTTTGCTTGCTGGAAAACCAACATTAAGTCATATGCCCTGAATGTTGACTTTTCTTAAAAATTTAATTTTTAAAAATTTTAAGCAAAAAACAAATCAAAAATTAAAAAATGTTATATATATTGCTCATACATATATTTTTATATAATTTTCAGGGATAAAAAGGCAGTTTTCTGTAAAAAGGAAAATGACAGTTTTCTTGAAAATTAACCGATCGTTAAGGGGTCAAGGAAGAGAATGACGTCACATTTTACCGCATTCTCTGGGGAAATAGCTGTTCTTGAAGCAGATGATTAAGTTATAGTGACTTTGTCCAGGGAATTTCTCGGGATTGTAAAATTACTGTCAAATCAAATATTAAAAAAAAAAAAAAATCAATATGGATACATACATTTCAGAAAACACTCTTTATTTTCTTAAAGGGAATAAAATTGAAAGAGTAGACGTAAAATATTTTTAATCTCTAAAAGCATTATGGTTAACAATAAACACACGAATTTCAAATTGTAGTTTTTTAAAGCGCTTAATGATCAACATATCACAAAATGAATTTCGCGTTTGGCAGAATACTGTGAAATTGTCAATAAGCATTTAAATCCTCAACACGATGATTTATACATGCTTGTTAAGGAAAATAAACTCTGCTCACTTTTTCATGATTTGTAACAATCCATCTTCGAAAGTCAATGGCATGACAATCACATCTCCATGGATTGCTAAAAACCGACACTAGGTGAAGTCTTGAAAAATCTGCTAGTAACGAACTTGGCAAAGTTTTCAATTTATTGTCATGTAAGAACAGACGACGTAGACCATTAGGTATTTGTATATTTGTCAAAGACTCCAAGTTATTGTCAGATAGGTTAATTTCTCCAACTGTATCAGCAATTACAACAGATTTATCAATGGTATAATGCTTCCTAACCATATGAAAGCGGAATGTTAAATTAATTTTAAAATGAGGTGAATTCTGAAAAAAAAAATAAATAGTTTTGTCTTTAACTTAGTACTATTATAAAATTTTATATTATATTTTTGTAAATAAATTAAAGTGAAACATATCACTTAACAAAGAAAAGTTAAAATCGACAAAAATTTATATTTTGAAAACATATAGTAAAGTGACATATTGTACAATTTAAAGAATGCAGTATTGAATTTTATTTTATCATTTTTTAAATAAAAAGAGCAATAAAATGTGAATAAAGCTAAACTTTTAGAAAAACTTGAGATTTGTGTAACACCTTTTAAAATCTATAAATGTAATTACTATAGTTAAAGTTATTATAATTGGGTGCGAACTTTCGCAATGAGCAATATTAATGTAGTTTTCAAGTCATTACGTCTGCGACATTGAATGTTATGGTTATTACATTCAATGTCGCAGTACCGTTACCGTGTGATGATTGCAACATGGCATTACAACATAGCTTACAGAGTGGACCTAGTCACATAGTGACTCAGTAGAGACGTGAATATGTCACAGTTTCGTCACATGGTGAGACCCTTGCGACATTATAAATCTCATTGTTGACATGTTGACATCAATATCTCTAATATTTCCTTCATATTTTTTCTCTCTATTTCGATTTTTATGAATTATAAAATTTAAATTAAAATTTTATACAAGTACTTAAATGAATTTTAAACTACGGATTATTTAAGGAACTTAAAGGTGTCAAAAAACAATATGTTCTTAAATGCAAGATGTTTTATATTCTATTAAAATAATTTTGACATTTCTTCCTGATAAAAAAAATTCTTCGTTGTGCAAATATTATATGTATGTAAAATAGAATAAAGCATTTTATACAAAATTAAAAGATAATCAAACATTTGAATAATGCTATATTTGCTGACTTTTTCACTCAAAACCAATGTTATTTTTCTACTTGTGCAATAATACTTTTAAATAAAATAAAACTTATAAGGACTGTTTGAGGCTATTAAAGTTGTTTAAAATTTTAATTTTTTGACATGAATCTTTAAAAAAATGTAAGGAAATATCATTTTAAAAAAAAACTTCATTTAACAATTTAATGGTAAATATTTATAATAGAGCATATACCAAATGAGAAAACTACCAAACCTCTACACTATAAGCTGTAAGAAACTGAGGTATGATTGAGATATTTTTGGAGCTACAATCCACTGCCATGAAGTACTCTTCATCATCATTTGCACAGTAGCAATCGCATTGTGACGGGCAATGATGATTATCGCTTGGGAATTCTGGTACACAGATTTTTCTGCCTCCAAACACATGAGGAGCTTTTGGATTGGCGAAGACCCATTGGATAAAAGGTAGAAACTCACAGTCACATCGAAATGGATTAACTTCAATATGGGAGAAATATACAGAAATTAAATTCATCATTAATATAATATAATTAAAATTTTATAACAATTATAATTCCAAAATAAAAGCAAATTTATTTAATCGTAACGAATTTACATTATTACCCGATTTTCAATCCTTTTTAATTGAAATACGATAAAGTTTCAGAATGATCAAGATTTAATGCGAAGTGGGGAATATCTAAAAGTACAATTAATACTTAAATAGCAGGCAACTTTACGGCCAGCGTTGTATTTTCCTTTTCATTTGGTTGGCATAGTAAGCTTGACGAGAAATTAATGCTTTTTTAAACTTATTAGAGACATTAGAATGCTAAGCTTGTTTTCTTAAAGGTTGAATAAAGGTATGCAAAAATCTTACATTTTTAGCTTTTATCGTGAATTTTGTTTTTTCCTTTTCTCATTCCAGCTTTGTCTAGGCTCTCAATTGGAACATTTCGTTTGTGTTAAAAACTTATTTAGGCCAACCTTCATCTTTAAAGTGTTAAAGAAAGCTTTTAAAAGCCGGCTCCAGAAAAACTTGTTGCAGTGATAAGTCGTGAAATTTAAAATAAACCTCGAGAAGCTGAATTTATCCTTGATTGGAGAAACTTTTTCGATTTCTGAAGGTTTTTCTAGTCTTGTTCTGTAAATGCATGTTCAAGTTTGATATAAAAGGGTTGCTAATGCAATCCTAAAAAGGTCTGGTTTCTTAGAGCAAGCGCCTTATCTGGGCGTCAGCGGAAAGTTGACGTAGAGATGACGCCAAAAAAAATACTTTTTTGTTAGCTCAGCCTGAGCAGTCGGTTCAACGCAGACATTATCTCTCATTGCGCATGCGTTAATAACGTAAACAAATCTTTATTTTGAATTTGTATTAATTTTGTTATTGTCGACCAGTGTTTTAGAGAACAAATGATGACTATGGCCAAGAAAGCTGAGCTAAATGAAGAGTGCTATGTTTAGTGAAGAAGATATGTTTAATGTCAAAATCAGGGCTGATTTCAATGAACTGTTGGATGCTGTCCACCATTGCTTCTGTGGTTAACATCACGTTGTAATCCAACTGCAGTTGAGTTGGACGGCAATTGTAGTTCAAGATGAGCGCTCGATGATGTATACTATCACACTCACAAATGGACCAATCAGAGGTTAGCGCTGATTTCCAGCTGACGGCGTCCTGTACTAAGAAAGCAGGCCTTAATGCAAACCTCATAACGAGTAAAATTTAGTTAGTTTATTTAGTCATAGTTAAATTTAACTTGGTTTCAAGCTTGAATGGTTTATTCGCTAATCATTTATAAGCCTTGCTGGGCTTTGTGATAAAGGTTGTGGCGAACATTAAAATCAACCCTACTCTGATATTTGAGAATAGGTTTTTCACATGCGTTGTTGACTAATTAGACGCTAAATCTGTTTAGATAAGAAAGAAATTGAATTGGTTCAATATTTTCGAGTAATTTTTGGGTTCAAATTCAAGATAAAAGTTTGCCTTAAAGCTGAAAATAACAATTATTTTTAGTATATTATTTTTAGTATAGAAGTTTAAATTGACTATTCTCTATTTTAGTCACCTGATATAGAGTGCAGCATCAAATTTTGTTTATATTAGAAATATATGTTAAATAATTTGGTATTTAGGATTAAAAAAAATCTCTGGTTTTTTGGTAGGATTGAGCTCCACGAATTCTGATCGAAAAGTGAATCAAATTAATTTTTATGATGTTATTGCATAATTGGAAAAAAAGAGATAAAGCTGCATCTGACAGGTTTTGAATAGCTTAAATGAATACTGGTCAAGAATAATTATTCAGATTTTGATTTTTAGTTTAATTAAACTTAAATTAAGAAAGCAAAAATTAACATTCCTATAACAATTTTTAGCAGTTAGTAATAACATATTTCCTGAAACTCTTCTATGGCACATTTTTTCTGTAAAAATGAAATTCTTAGCTATCCTGTATGCAAAGAAAAAATTCATATTGAAAGTTACACAAAAACTTCGATCCAAAAAAGACGAATACTTAAAAAAAAAATCACATTTTATTACGGCATAAAATCTATTTCATATATCATAACGAAAATAGTTTTTTTGTTGAAATTATGATTTTAAAACGAACATTTAGTCATATTAAATTCACTTTTAGGTTACCTCATTTGATTTGGAGAATACTTTTGTTAAAATAAGATAAATGTTTTAGAAAAATTATTGTACGTTGCACAATGCTGAAAATAAAATTGGAAAACTTGAATAACTTTCGATCTAAAAATGTGTTTTTGGTGTTAATTTGCAATCTACCCGATGGAGAAAAAGAATATCATTAAATTTGCTTATTAAGAAATGCAGATGATATATAATCTGTAGTTAAAATCAGTTCTTAAAAAATACGTACTTCGAGAGCGTATTTTTTTTTCTGGCGGAATTTAATTCTTAAACTGCAAAATTTAGCGATCGAAAGTTAGTTGCCCTGCAAATTTGTTTTACTTATTACACATTTAACCATGTCTTAAAAAATATTAAACTGAATCAATTATAAAATTCGGCTATTACGAAAAAAAAAATATTTTTACTAGGCAAAATTATTTTTTCAATATTTTTTATTATCTATTTCAAAGTTGAGACAAACAATTTTAAGCAATACGATTAATAAACTCGGTAACTCGTTTCTAACTATATGGTCTTATATAATGTAACTGATTTCCTAACTTAAAGACTATTTGTACGGTGTTTAACTAGTATATTTAGTGTTGTTTATTAGAGAACCAATAACATTGCATATCAGTAGGTGATAAACCGATCATTTATCAATCACCCAACCGAAAGTTATTAGGGTGTTCCATTTTTAATTTAACACACTATAGATTAGCATTTTGTTGAACCAAAGCTGAAAACACTGCCTTTTGCAACATTGAAATTTGAATTAACTAAAATACCAAAAATGACTTTTTCTCGCATTCTTTAGTTGATGAGGAAAATATAACGTATTTCTTGAAATCAAAACTTAATGTGTAAACAAACGAAAATAATTGATTTGTGTTTCATTAGGTAAATAGTAATTTGGTGCATTGAAACCAACCTGGTGCCTCGAATCTAGTGCCCCGAAATTGAGATAATTCGTCAGATTAAATTTAGGTAATGGATCTGTATACAAGCGCAGCAATCAAGTTCAGCTTTGATTTAACATAATGGAAAGATTGATATTTTTATAAGATTATACCACTCAAATCTACATATTCTAGAGGATCAGGCATTTGCTCTTTTCTTAGAGTTTCAATTGAGTTGTTGCTCAAATACAGAGATTTTAATTGAGATAAATGTCGAAGACAATTTCCAACTGTTACGATACGATTCCCATTAATGTCCAAATAATATAAACTTTTCAGGCCTAAAAATTCCCCCTTTTCAAACACCTATAAGCAGAGACGTACAAATCATTATTATAAATTAAAAAAATAATACTTAATTTGAATAAAATATTAATGTATAGAATTGAGATACACAATATTGTAACAATTGATGATTTGATAGTGTTTGAAAATTTTGAATTAAGCAATGAAGACTTTTGATTAAAAAAATAATAATATCCGGTAATAGCAGTACTTAATTTTTGTAACACTAGAACTGCACAATGGGCTTGTTGCAGTTAACAAAATAAAACAACCTTTTATTCTTAATTGCTGAGTTAAAAACATAAAATGCAGCACAGAAAAAATATTGCGAAACAAAAAACAACTAAAATTTTAATATTTTATTTAACGAAAAAATCTCTCACCTTGTGAGAAAAAACACAAGAAAGTTCAACTAAAAAGAAGAAAAAGAATGTTCTACTGATTCTCTTAAAAAACAAAGAGAAAACGAGAGCTACCAAAACAATATGTCCTTTTTTAATTTTGTGCTTTTGCCAACCTGCAACTTCAATTATGTTCTTTGAAATTAATCGTCTGCTACCATGTCTTTGAAAATAATCGTCTGTATGTCAATCTTCAACAGGGCTATTAGCAACAATATGGGAAACATTCTTGCGGATGATCCGAAGACAGGCCATCACAGTTATCATCCTCCGCAGAAGGGACGTTTCCACTGCTTTGTAGTCCGACAAACTACGCCAGAAGTAGAGCAGTTTACTGTATAACAGTTTAATGAAGGTCGAAACTATGCATTCTTTCAGGTTCATCTCAGGTTGATGGAATTGGTTACCCACCGTCTCATTGACCGTAGCCAGAGATTCTTAACTTCGATAATCTACTGTTTTATTAAGCCTAGTTCAAATTCGCCTNTATATATATATATATCTTTTTGTTATTATAAATTTTAGTACTGAAAATCGAAGAAGTAGTGCAAAAGGATATTCTTAGTGTTTAACTACACTAGGAACTGCCCATGGTTCTTGTTGCAGTAGAACACCACTTTGGCGTAAAGTAGTTTATACCATTTTTGGTTTTAAATTCTTTTTACAGTTTACTGTCTAAGATTATAGTGAGGATATAACTTTTTTAGGAGGCCTTTTCCGGTTTCAAAATGTAAAAATACAGTTAGTGTAACGAATCCTCTACAAAAATTTAAAGTGTTTTTGAGATTTATTTGAGGTATTAAAAATTATTTGAGCTTTATGTGAAGTTGACTTCAAAAACAACCTTACAAAATCAACTTTTCAGGGTTTATTACCAAAGTGAAGTTGTTTTATTTCTACTTGAGGTTTTATTGAGGTTCATAGCAACCAGCTTAGAAATGTTGATTTTTTAGGTGTACAAGTTACTTTTTTACACTTTAAGCAAGTAGGTATATTTGTGGTGTGAATTAAACTATGCGATTTTAACTGAAAGTATAGCTGAGTGATATATGAGTTTGACTTTATGAGATTGAAATTGAGGTTTATTGATGAGGTTATCTTTGGTGCAAAACATAACCTCATTTTCTACCTTTGGTATACTTATTTACACCATTCAGACTCAAAAACATCTTTTTTTTCCCTTTTTGTAATGAATAGATAAAAAAATTAGCTGGTCCCTAAGAGAGGACTTCTTAATTCAGTCTTAACTTCAGCTTTCAACTCGTTCATAGATTATCACAGATGAGACAAGGAAGCCTGCCTAGGCACTAGGTGCTTTACATGCATTTCTAAAAATGCATGTGAAAAACAATTCAATAACCAAAAAAACCTCAGACATGAATTGATATCTCGATGACAAATGACAAATATTTGATGGTAGATGAATTGGATTTGACAATTATTCTTTTTGAGAATAAGAGCCTTGATGGGAAAGGGCAAAAATAATTGCAAATAAATTTTTGCATTGGTAATTTTATCATTATTTATTTACTCGGCAGCTTCACGAACGACTTTCATATTATAGAAAACGAATAAAAGCCTTTAACGCAGATGGGACACAAGTGTCCCTTTCATCTATTTTCTTCTGACGTTCCAATTAAAAGCAAGAATATATTTTGATGTGTTTTAAATACTAATAACAGTCTAATAGTTATATCATTGAAACTATATTTGTAGATAAATTAGCCAAAGATGCCAGAAATCTCAACCTTAATGACTGTAACGTCTCCATCCAAGATGCAAATGCAATTGCTAAATCTAAACTAAGAGAAAAACCAATTCCAACGAAACACATGATATGTAATATAAATGCAGATAGATCCACAACAAAAACTATATCGGCTATGTCATAGACACGACAAAAAAAACTATATTTGTACCGAAACATAAAATCTAAAAAACGTAGTGGGAATTTCTTTTTCATTTCTATTCAAAAATGTATCAATGATTGATTGTGTAAAATAAATGAATTCCAAATATGAATAACTGTTTTTCTTATATCTAAATAACAGCAAATAAAGGCAAATTTAAAAAAACTATTTTTTGGAAATATCCTTTTTATTTAAGATTCTACCTTCAACCCAGAAAAGGACACCTATGTTTCCTGCTTTATTTTGTAAACCATAAATTATTAAAATGCTAAATATATTATTTTTCACCTTTTTTGACATAAATAAATCCAAAATAAAGAAAACATTTAAAAAATATATTTAATTAAAAGTCTGCGTCAAAGGGATAAGAATGTTTAAGGGATAAAGAATGCTCTTGTTCATTTTTTAACACATAAAACTCACACTAATGAAGTTCGATGCAAGGTACAACTCTCGCAACTCTGACAAATATTGAAAACTGCCATTCAGTGTCCTTAGATGGTTATGGCTGAGATCTAGAATTATGAGTTCGTTGCGGTTGCCTGCAAACGTCAAACGTTCAATCATTTTGATTTGATTTTTCTGAGCCTCAAGTTCAAACAATTCTTTGAGGCCTTTAAAGTCCCATGCTGTCAGCTGCTGAATTTCATTCTTTGCCACATGTACGTATCTCACTTGGCCGAAACGTAAAACTGTACCCAAGCTTAGTAAACGGTTGTTGAATAGGTTTAATGTTGCCAAATGGGTCTTGGAAGCTGTGAAAAGAACGAATTATGTTCGTGTAATGATAAACATTGATTAAGAATATTTTAAATGAAGCAATTTTCGCCATTTCGAAAATATTACAGTTCCTGTGATTGGGGTGGAAATAATTTTGACATTGGTGAAATTGAATTTTCGCTCCAGATTCAAAGAATGTGCAGCAATTAACGGTTTATCGCATTCTTAATGGCACACAGTGCACAATAAAGGACTATTTTGAATAACTTTTGATCTAACGTTCCAGGCCTCATTCTAAATGATTCGAGGGGTGACCTCGAATATGTTAATTAATTAGCGCAGACGATATTTTAAATTACGAAATCAGGTAGAAAAATGTAAAATGTAAAATTATCTATTTTAAAAGGATGCAAAAACTGTATACCTTAAAAAGCAAACATTTTCGGTTATTATTAAAAAAACATTATAAATATTATTTACTAGAATTTACTTTTTGCATGGAACTATCTTTGGATAAACGAATCAGGTAAACGTCAGGCTGGAAAAGTATGCACTAAATGCCCCAGAGATTTTCAGAATTGATAGAAATCAGTTTCAGTTTGTACCGAATATAATATCTTGATAGTCATTACAACTCATCAGCCGCATTAACTTCCCAGACGGGCTAGTTCAAATATATTTGAAGCTGGATGAGTTTAATGAATTTTATGTTTCAGGAAAAAATTACGGTTCTTCACAATAACAGTTACTTAACAATATTTAGTTAAGTATAAATAAATAATTTCAAAACTGGATTTCTCAATTAAGAGATTTTGATTAATTGTCTAATTATTAGTAAGATGTTTAGAAAATTTATTATAACTCATCAGCCGCATTATCTCCCAGACAGACTAGTTCAAATTTATTTGAAGCTGAATGAGTTTTAAGCTGGATGAGTTTTAATGAATTTTATGAGTNAAAATAGGAAAGTTTACCTTTAATTTCTCGTATTAGATTTCCATCAAGCAATAAATGCCCTAGCAGCCTGAATGCTATTCTCCGATTAGGTATTACTTCTATCTTGTTATAACGGAGATCAAGTCCTTGAAGATGTAGCAAATTTTTATAATGGCTCATATTAAAATCACGAATTTGACAGTGTGCCATCATTAAATATTTCATATTTGGTGCTTTAACTTGAAAAAAGTCTTCAGGTACTTGCTCTATGGGATTACTTAAAATATTGAGTGTAGTTAGGTTCCATGCAGTCGTAGGTAAAATATCTTTTAATGAGTTTTGCAACCGGAGGACATAAAAGGTAACGTTTAAGTTGTAAAAGTTAAAAAGAAAAAAAATAGGAAAGTTTACCTTTAATTTCTCGTATTAGATTTCCATCAAGCAATAAATGCCCTAGCAGCCTGAATGCTATTCTCCGATTAGGTATTACTTCTATCTTGTTATAACGGAGATCAAGTCCTTGAAGATGTAGCAAATTTTTATAATGGCTCATATTAAAATCACGAATTTGACAGTGTGCCATCATTAAATATTTCATATTTGGTGCTTTAACTTGAAAAAAGTCTTCAGGTACTTGCTCTATGGGATTACTTAAAATATTGAGTGTAGTTAGGTTCCATGCAGTCGTAGGTAAAATATCTTTTAATGAGTTTTGCAACCGGAGGACATAAAAGGTAACGTTTAAGTTGTAAAAGTTAAAAAGAAAAAAAATAGGAAAGTTTACCTTTAATTTCTCGTATTAGATTTCCATCAAGCAATAAATGCCCTAGCAGCCTGAATGCTATTCTCCGATTAGGTATTACTTCTATCTTGTTATAACGGAGATCAAGTCCTTGAAGATGTAGCAAATTTTTATAATGGCTCATATTAAAATCACGAATTTGACAGTGTGCCATCATTAAATATTTCATATTTGGTGCTTTAACTTGAAAAAAGTCTTCAGGTACTTGCTCTATGGGATTACTTAAAATATTGAGTGTAGTTAGGTTCCATGCAGTCGTAGGTAAAATATCTTTTAATGAGTTTTGCAACCGGAGGACATAAAAGGTAACGTTTAAGTTGTAAAAGTTAAAAAGAAAAAAAATAGGAAAGTTTACCTTTAATTTCTCGTATTAGATTTCCATCAAGCAATAAATGCCCTAGCAGCCTGAATGCTATTCTCCGATTAGGTATTACTTCTATCTTGTTATAACGGAGATCAAGTCCTTGAAGATGTAGCAAATTTTTATAATGGCTCATATTAAAATCACGAATTTGACAGTGTGCCATCATTAAATATTTCATATTTGGTGCTTTAACTTGAAAAAAGTCTTCAGGTACTTGCTCTATGGGATTACTTAAAATATTGAGTGTAGTTAGGTTCCATGCAGTCGTAGGTAAAATATCTTTTAATGAGTTTTGCAACCGGAGGACATAAAAGGTAACGTTTAAGTTGTAAAAGTTAAAAAGAAAAAAAATAGGAAAGTTTACCTTTAATTTCTCGTATTAGATTTCCATCAAGCAATAAATGCCCTAGCAGCCTGAATGCTATTCTCCGATTAGGTATTACTTCTATCTTGTTATAACGGAGATCAAGTCCTTGAAGATGTAACAAATTTTTATAATGGCTCATATTAAAATCACGAATTTGACAGTGTGCCATCATTAAATATTTAATATTTGGTGCTTTAACTTGAAAAAAGTCATCAGGTACTTGCTCTATGGGATTACTTGAAATATTGAGTTGAGTTAGGTTCCATGCAGTCGTAGGTAAAATAGCGGCCACGTCAGATATGTTGTTGTAAGCCAGATGTATAAACTAAAAATTAAAAAATAAATTGACTGATAAATACAATTAGGAAATACGCATTACGTTTAGCATTTAAGAAGTCTTTTCTTAATTAGTATAATTGAAAAACAACAATTAAAAAGCTGTTTAAATACACCAGAAATGTTAACGAGATAGTCCCCTAAATTGTCAAGTATATTTCAAAGTGCGAAATGCGTTGGAAACGTGAAAAATACTTTCTTAGTTAAAAGTGTAAATTTGTTATTTAAGTTTATCTTTGAATGGTTTCAAATGTGGTACTTCAGTTTTTTTCAGAATCGGTCTTCTTTTACTTCTTTTGAATGTGAAATAATAATAATAATAATAATAATAATAATAATAATAATAATAAAAAGTAAGACGTGAAGGTGGATTTCGATGGTAAAAAAATATTGGTGAAAGGCGTTTTATTATGGAAGTGATGGCCTCTACGCCTTTCAATTTAAGCCTGAAAAAAAATATTAAGTTTTCTTCCATTTTTAGTCAACAAAAAATAATTCGATTTCTCCTTTGATTAATTTATTTATTATTACTTTCTAGTTAATTTAATTATATCTGAATTTTGAATAGTAACTTGTATACCAATGAAATACAGATCTTCATTTGAAATTGAGCACTGCATCTAGTCAGAAGTGATTAGTTACCGTTTATATTTTAATATTCTATAATGCAAGGGTGATCTCTTTTTAGGTGATAATGCAATGGGATATTCTGTTTGTAACGAATAGAAAACTATTAAAGCTTGGCGTTAGGACGTATAATCCATGCAAGAACCTCATCACGGATTATTACGGCTATCCACCACATAGATCCAGTTGAAGTCAAAACATTTTAAACAGTTATTTGTTAAAAAATTTTTACTGGTGATAAATTCAAATTGGCGAGTAAATTCTACTTTCAGTGCTTAAGCAACAATCGAAAAATTGTATTGTCATAAGAAATATAGTGCTTTGGGGGAGATTTCAATACTCTAATTAATTAGTCAGTTGTCGGAATTTTTATTGGAAAAAGTTTATTTAGAGCTAAAAAAAAATTTAAAATCCTTTTTGGCTTTAAAATCATATCACTCGGAATGGAGATCCAGCGTAGACATTAGTACTGAAGGTGATATGAAAATGGGCGAAACTTCGATTCTAAAACGCACTGTATGCACGCTTCTTAAGAATTCTTTCACAGAACGACAAGCGCTAAAACATTAAAGAAAGCACTTTTCCTTTTCTTTATTATTCTTTTTTTAAAATGGCAAAGTAGTTATAAAAAATACAGAAAAAGTACAAAAATTTTATTAAAATGCCATGTCTATAAGTAAATACAATTATAAATAATTCCTTTTACCTTAGGCACTAAACTTCACTTATAAATTTAAATTTTTTTTTCAGCATTGTGAGCTGACTACGCTTCGATGGTCGTTAATTATAAAGCCATCCTCATGCATATTTTCAAACTAAAGTAAAAAAAAAAAGCTACCGGAATTAGTGTTTTCCGTTATCATTTTATTCGAATACATTCATTAATGCATACGGATGTAATATCTATTTTGTTTACAGAGAGAAAAAGGTATTAAGGTCTACATACTGGTGGGTGTGTATTCCTGAAGAGATGGTTAACGTGTAGCAGCTGATTATGAATGAGGTCCACTTTTTTCAGCTTCTTCAAGGAATCGAACAAATTAGGAGGCAGCAGTGTAAGCTTGTTATAAGAAAGATCCAAAATAATCACATTGTTTGTACCCTATCAAGAACAAAGATTACAATGGGAATGTTATGAAGATTGCATGTATTTTTATTTACCATTAAAAATGAAAGATTACATTAACAGATAAAACACCCACGTGTCGCATAGTTCAAGATAGAAAGACTAAGTACATTAAGTAATTGTACACTTACGGTTTGAATGTTTAAATAATTATTAAAAAAAAATTATGAAAAAGTTCCGAAAGCTTTCTGTGCTTCATTACTATTATCTATGTTCTCTACATATCATAAATTCCTTTATTTATTTTTTTAGTACTATGTCCCGAGAGAATCCTTTCCACTACGGAGGGAGCATATGAGCAACTCCCAGCCCTCAGGCCGGGGACACCACACCCAGCCTTTTTATCCGGATTGTGGAACATTTTAAAATTATTTTTTCTAAATCAATAAAAAAAATAACATGGTTTGAAATTTCTAAAAAAAATGGTAATTTTACTATTTTCAACCAAAGTAGTGTAATAACCATAAAAGATGGTAATCAACGCTTGAGTTGACGGTGTATGGCTTACGGTGAAAAAAAACCCCCAGTTTGTTGACTGTTTTCACCGAATGCGGTTAAACAACCAAATATTTACCTACGACATCTAGGCTTACAGCCAACGATGAGAATCGAGTGCACATTCTTCAAAATCTGGAAATCAATATTGATACAATGATACTTGAGATCCAATCGAACTTTACAGAAACGTATTTAGGTCATACAGTTGCGTAATCAAGAATTATAATTTTACTCAAGTTTTTTTACAAATATTTACAAATATTTGATGTTTAGTTCAAATCTGATCAGTTGAATCGGAACTGAAAGACTTTGATTACAAAATATTAATTTTAACCACGCTGTTTCATTTCTTTATTTTTTACTTACCTACAGTAAAACAAAAGTAATGTATATTTTTTTCCATATTCATATGGAGTTTAATTTGGGGATATTGAAAATGAAATTTAACAAGTCTTTGGGATAGTGCTGTAAATTTTACCTCACCTCAAAGACATCGGGATTAACATCCAGAATGGAATTATTGTAGAAAGAAATGTACTCTAGTGAGGGAAGGTCCTTCAGCGAATCACCTTCCAAGGAAGTCAATAGGCTGCTTTTCCAGTTTAACTCTTTGAGAGAATTCCGGACTGGGCGAAAATTAGGAATCTTCTGCAAAAAAAAAAAATAAATAAATAAATAAATAAATGTGTAAATCAGTATTAACTGGAAATGATAGAAAATACTCAATTAAAAAGGGTATATATATATTATAAATGAGTGCCTATCGTTTTAAATGTAACTATAGACGAATCAACTTTTCACATACTTTATAGATAACAGAGATATTTTCTAGCTTATAGCTCTGTTTGATCAAAAAATAGTTTACCGCAAGTGTTTAAATATTTCATTATTCTATTTTTGTAATGTCAGATAAATTCAACGAACAACATTATTTGGTAGCATGCGCGGTCTGTGTGTTACCAAATTCATACTTTTAACGTTGTTTGATACTACACGTTTTTTTTTTTCATTTCATGCGGAAGAATCAGATAAGTGACATTTTCCAAATCGAAAAAATACATTGTACCCGAGCTATTTTATTATCAATATATTAAATGATGGGACTAATAATTCCTTGATTTATTTTTTTCACCAGAGCCTAATTTTAAATGAAAATCGAGCAAGCATACTAAAAACTAATGTGATTAGTTAAGTTAAGATTTAAGTGAAGGTAAAAAACAGTTCTATTACATTAAACATGCCCATATTGATTCAACTACTTTTCTGATACTTTCTCAGATTAATTAATTCACCTAAAAATTTGACTTGACAGGTTCTTACATCAAGCATTTTAAGTTGTGTCGGTACATGCTTTTCAGTTTTGAGTGTGATTTCGTAAGTGTTTCTCAATTGGTTATAATTCAGCTTGTCAAGATGAATGACAGAACCTTACATAAAGAAAAACATTTATTATTATTATTACCCCTTTTATTATACTTTTATTATATTTTCAAACGAAAAACTAATTTGAAACAATTTTCATATTAAAAAATTTTCGTTAATCTGTTCGAAAACACCTATACATGTCAAAAAATGTTAAATATTCATGGAAAATTTAAAAAAAAACAACTTGTCCACAACACGCTAAATTCAGAGTATATATTTTGCTTACATAAAAATAAGCACGCTACTTATTTATTTTTTATTATTATAATTTTTTTTTGCTGTGCAAAAGGTTTTTAAAATTGGTTTCCGATTAAAAAAAGAGCGTAACTTTGTTTAAAAGCATTCATATATGACAAGAAATATTTGTAGGAAAGTGTAATAAAAAGTTTATCTAGTTCACAACGCGTTTTTTAGAAATTAGAGCTCATTTTAAAACTAGTTTCTTTTTCAAAAAAATGAGAGTCAATTTATTTAAAAAAAACACTTATAAATTACCTATCAGGAATTTATAGAATAATTATAGAAAATTTAAAAAGAGAGTGCGTGTAGTCCACAACACGCTAAACTTCAATTGCTAGCAAAAGAATAGACATTTCCCGAATTATTTATAACTCTTTGCCATGCAGATTACTTTAAACTTGTTTCATTTTAAGAACTGAGAGTCAATTTGTTTAAAAATTCTATTAAATGTTTTGAAATATTTTTTAAAAAAATGGGTAAAACTTTCTTTTTTCCCACAACATGCTAAGTTCAGGGCATGCTCATCGCTAACTTAAAGGTGGACATTTCTCGCATTTTTTTTTAAATTTTTTGCGATGCGAAATTCATTTGAAACTTGTTTGATACTAATAAACATGTTTCTGTTAGTTAGAAAATACCCATATATACCAAGATATATTTATAGAATTTTTTATTTTTATTTTAAAAAAGAGTTTCTTCAGTCCTAAACATATTAGGTTCAGAATATGCACATCGCTAACAGTATAAATATGTAAAAAATGCTTGAAAATGTTTTATAAATTTTCGTTTAATACTTTAAGCTTTTCTAAGTATTTCAAAAAGAAAATATAGTTCACGTGTCAGAACTAGCAGAAATTTCCCTATATCTGTGATAACTATTATAGTTGAAAGATTCATGTTAAATTATAGATTGAGAGTTTTATTTTGGAAATAAATTATTTTAAAAGAATGCTTAAAAATGCAAATTTATGAAAGAACTTTAGAGTTTTTAACTTGAATCAGTAGAGATTTCGTCCTAATTTTTAAGTTTAATTTTTGTTTTATTTTCAACCTTTCAAATGCTATTATTAAATATTTTGTTTAAATTTTAATTTAAGGAGAGTAAAATTAAAACAATTTTTTACAGTCACCATTGCAGTTCACGTGCGGAAATTGGAAATTTTGCAACGTATTTATGGTAAATATTGTAGTTTTTAATATTTTATAACTTAATAACTCCCTCGAAGTAGACAAACTATGTTATATGTATAGTTTCCTAACCTGAATTAATATCTATAGAGAAATAATCCAGCCCATTTGGCACGTGTCAGTTTTGGTAAATTAAAGTTAATTTGACCTATTTGGTAGTAAGTATGACTCTTTTGTTTGTAGTAACTTCCGAAACTTTGTAATCTATATTATATAAAACGCTAATACGTACGTATGTATGTATCAATAAAACCGATGATATTTCTTTTCTCGCGTTGGCAACAGCTTTCATTTTTAATTGATTGGATTCGGCGCGCAAGAGCACGTAGTGAGCAACCAGATAACAATAACCAGAGTGAGCATTATGAGGTTGTTCAATTCAGATTCATGCACTAAAAACATGATAATATTTAATTTAAACTCAATTAGGAATTAATTAATTAATTGAAGTGAGAATGCTTTAAAAGGCCGTTGTTGAATTGATATTTTTTCTACTTGGAGCTACCTAAACGTCTAAAAAACGTTTAAGTGTTTGTATTGAATGCATTGAATTTTTTTATATATCGCGTTTATTTATGCATTGAATTTTCACGCTTTAAAATTCAGAATATTAGTGAAGCAATATTTGATAATTTATTTTGCTAATATGTTTCTTATTTAGCTAATGTTTTGATTTTTTCACCATGTACAATCTAAATAGCTAATATACTTTTTTAAAAGCCAATAAGAACATTGGTAGAATTCATCTACATAAGTACAATACTATGTCTTTGATGATAAAATACTATGTCTTTGATGATAATATATTATGTCTTTGTGCTAGAACATTGTGTTCATTGGCGAGCGAGCGCAGCGAGCCATGGTTCACGGCGTGAGCCACATAGGATTGCGTAGCAATTCTCAGGGGTTGGCGAGCGTTAGCCAGCAGGGGGCGGAGCCTCCTAGTGGTTTTTTAAAAGTGAAATGAAGCTTTCAAATCTATTTCAATTTTGTTGTAATTTTTAATTGAGGAAGCGTTTGTAACACTTAAAAGTGCCGTTTCACTTGGGTTTTTTTTTCCATTAAGAAACCAGATTTCTCCCTTGTTCCCATTGTGTATTGAGGAGAAATTTGATCATTTAACACGTTAACACAACACGTAACTTTAAGTAAATTCCCGTCAGGCCTTGCGACCTGCTTATAAGTGCTCATATTATGGTATTGAAATGCTGCTCTGGCGCTCTAATAATAGATTGAAATAAATAAATATTTGATTTGTAATAAATAAAAAGTAAGTATATTTTAAATTATCTTTTAGCAATTACTTAAAACAACAAAATTTTTAGGTTTATGTCAAATTTTACACCGTCAGTTTCTGGTGACTGCGCTGTAAAAAAGTGCTCCTCAAAATAGAGCAAAAACTATGTACTCAATATTGAATATAGCTTACATTCAAAATGTAATATTATCAAAAATAACACTTCATTACAAAATGACACATTATCTTTAAATGTGACGAAGTTAAAATTTTATAAGTTTATAATGATCAAATATTTGGAAAAAAAATCTAATTAGATCAAAGTTTACTACACTTACCTTCATTCCAATGCCTTCAGATCGGTAATCAACACTTTCCTACCTTGCTGTCATGTTTGTTGAAAAATGAGGCAGGATTATCAGGGCTGTTTCAATTTTGAACGCGTCGTTATACTCAATAATGAGTACATGGGGTTTTCAAATTCGATTCTAATTGTTTTGGAGCTATCATGTTTTTTTTAAAGTGTGATGCAACCTAAGCGGAAAGTTCAGTGTCAGTCACCAATGACTGACATGGAATAAACGAAAAGTTCAGCGTCAGTTACCGATGACTGACGCGGAAAAAAATAAAAAATTTAGTGTCAGTTACCCCCTTGACGGACGCATAATAAACAAAAAGTTTACTCTCAATCACCGATGACTGACTCGGATTAAACGAAAAGTTCAACCGATGACTGACGCGGCCTAATTGGAAAGTCCAGTGTCAGTCTCCGATGACTGACGCAGCACTCGACCAGCCTTAGAAACAACTTTGATTGAGAATTATTAGATGTATTGAATGAGAGCGGAGACGAAGCAAATAAAGGAATTACCTTCAAAGAGCTGCAGTGCACGTGGAATATACTCAAACTAATCACATTTTCTAAAACATTCTCCTGGATATCTTCATTATCTAAATTGTTCAAATATATTCTAAACAATTTGATACCTTCGAAACTTCTGGCAGGAAGGGTAGTTACTACTCCGTCGATTACGATATCATAGGTCACATTCACATCGAATATAGATCGATTAAATAAATATTTGGTAGCGAAAAGTTCCGTGGGTTCAGAACACTTCACCAGTGTAACAGTTTCAAATTCATAAAAGTTGCAACCTGGTATCAATTCATCATTTTCTGTATCTAGATCTTGATCTTCATAGATATTGTCACAACAACCAGACCAACGATATTTACAATATGGTGGACGGTTGCTACATCTCCGATCAGAAATATCATCTTCTTGCTCGTTAAAAATAGCGTCCCAACAACTATGCTGAGCAATGGCTTCTAGGTGCATACAGAAACAATCTTTCAGTAACTCACTGCATCTAGCATTAGGCTTCTTACCGTCTAAATTTATCCCTCCATTGCTGTTTATTACAGAAAATTCATCTAATGTATGCTCCATATTAACATGAGAATACCATGTAAAATTCGCACACCACATTCTTCCTAAAGAATAAAGATCATCGCAGTTGCAATCCGAAGGTAGCGCATTGCAAAATACACCAGGGCCATCAAAGTCAAAATCTTCAATATCAATATCTTCTAAATAAGAGTCTTTGCAATTGGAAAAAACGAATAAACATAATAGTAAACATATTTCATAGAGTTTCATCGTGTAATAAGATATTGTAATAGCAGTCGTAATAGCGTAGTTGTAAGTAATAGCGTCTCTATTTATTAAAATCTGAACTGAATATTATTAGATTTTTCCTTTGTGCCAAATGAAATGTCTCTAAATTTAAGATTCGCTTTGATCACCAAATTTACATCATTGGTTTTTCATTTATTCTCACATATATATAAAACTACAATAAAATATCTTGTCGTAAGTAATTACCATTATCACTTTTTACGCAGTCGAAATTGATCTAAATCTTTTTAAAAGCCATCTTTTTACCAGTAAAAACTGTTTTAGTTGATGAAAACAGGTTTTTAAATAAATATAAACAAACATTGATAATTAAGAATAATCGTCTTCCCTTCTGTCTTCTTCCTTTTTGACTTCCTTTGATAACGGAATTAAATAATCTCTTTATCAGTTGCATATGTTAACAAGGAAGATCATTTAGTTACAATAAAATATAACTTTGATTTCTTTTTCCTCGTAAATACTTCACAGCATAGGTATTACTACCAGGAAAAAATTTATTGTAGACTTCAATTCCACTTAGATTAATATTTACTCTTCATCCTCGTCTATCTCTTTACTACACACGCATTTTTTTTCCACTTCAAATTTGTACAAGAACTTAATCGAATTCACAGAACCAAACTAATCAACAAAAATTTCCCACTAAGTTAGTGAGAGTTCAGAGATAAAACTATTTTTATGAAAGTCACTTTTGAATGATTTTCAAACTAGAGGCAGTTTTGAAAGCGGAATTATTTTAAAAATTACATTAAAATTGATCATTGTTTGTGATTAACATTGAATCTCGTAATTGTCAACGTCATGATTAATTTGAAATTTAGACTTCAGGGGATTTTATAAGTCACATAATGAAACTAAACAAGGTTAGGTCTGTTACCGAAAAAAAATTTGAATTTTTTTATGTGAAATAACACTTTTTGAGATAGTACAACTACTAGAGATGTTTAAATTAAAATAAATCAGATTATTTATGGGTAACTTGCAGAAGCAATCATATTTGTAAATTAGTTGAGAAATTCTTTTCTTTATTGATTTTTATTTTTTTCATATTACTAGAATGCCAAAGAAAGTAAAACTGCTGAACATCCGACCACCAATCGACCGAAAGTTTGATTCTGAAGCGGTGAAAGATTTAATTAAAAGCTTGGCGACTGAAGAGTTGGGTAGCAAAGAATATGAATACATATATGCATCTGAATGGACGAGAACTTTAAGTAGAAAGATTCATGACGCTCTCAAAGAACTAGAAGATAAACAGTATAAGTTCATTGTGCTAGTGATAATCGGTGAAAAGTTAGGTCAAGGCTTCAAGACATCGGCAGGATGTCTGTGGGACGAAGACGCTGACACATGTGTTTCTGTAACAATTAGCAGAGATACTCTGTACTGCGTCATTGCAGTTTATGCTCTTTATTGCTATTGTTGGAAATAAAATCAAAAATAATTTGAAGAGAAAATTATCTTAATAAGAAAGAACTAAATTCAGTTATTGAAACTTACAGCAGGGTGAAGTAAAGTGAATCATCAGCCTGGATTTTTCCAAAACTTATTATTTTATTTTGCTGTTTCCTTTTGTTACGCAGCTTATATTTAAATTCCCAGAATATGAAATACTGTGTTAAAAGAATAGGAAATAATATTCAGTCATTAAAATTTTATAAAAAGGCGCGGAGAAAGGTAAGCTGAATTCTCCACTCTCTTTTTAAGAAAATAATAATGCAAAAATAAATCCTTTTTATTATAAATCTGTATTATTTACTGTTGAAACTTAATTTGAAGTTTTGCTAAAATTACAGAATCGTAAGTGCATCGGTATTCTGTAGGTTATAATTAGTTGTTGCTTACATCCCTTCAAACGAAAAGTACTTACTCTTTTATTTATTAATTTTTTTGTAAAGTTTATTGCAAACAATATTTTCCTCAAAATTCAGAAGGTAGAATTTCATCCTGTTTATAAAGTTTGTTTAAATCCCTGCTTAAAGTTTGCTCAGAAGGCGTTTAATATATTTTTTTTAATGGAAAATTATATAAATTTTATTGAATACTTTTTCTTTTTTTTCGCCTCCCTTATCATCTTTGAAATAATAAATTCTTTTTACATTGCCTAACTTTATTGCCTAACTTTACTTTATTCTAATATAAATCATGATGTTAACTAAATCTTTTTTTTAATTGTTACTCTTCCTAGAGAAGCTTTTTCTAAGAGATAATTGCAAACTGTTGAAAAATTATCAATATCTTTTTACAAGTATTTAGATTTATATATTTATCAAAACTATTTGGGTGATTAAGATTAGGTGATTTAAGTGATTTCTAGGTGTTAAAGAAATATCAGAAATATCAAAGAAAAAAGTGCTTTACATGCTTTTAGAAAAATTAAATAAATTTAGAGCCCATTCTTATATAATTAAATGTTTAGCAAATACTATTCAGGAATTTTAATTCATCATCAGAAAGAGAAAAGATTGTTTAAGAAACAAAGTAATTTCTATCATAATTGTTTAATAAGTTCAAATTTTAATAACTTAAGTCATTCGTAGCAAATTTCAAATATCTTTTTTAAATGGGATATGAAGTGCGATTTTTAATGCTATCTTTAGTTGAGGATACAGGCAGCACGTATAATAATTTGTCCCAAAAATATTTTTCTCCCCAAGTTAGGTAAGTTGTACTTTTCAAATAAAGCTTGATGTCTGGATGAGCATCATCTGGTAATTCTCCCAATTTGATGATTATGACACGATTTACTTTGTCCTTCAGAGCTTGCATATGGGCTGCCCGAAACTCGTAGACGCACCACTCACTTTCAAGAAAATTCCTGCAAGTTTCAATAATGTTTATTTTAAAAGCATTTTCAATGAAGTAATATTAAATCATTGTAGTTATTTATAAATATTATTAGAAATATAACAGAAAAATTTTGCTTTTAAATTTTCTACAAGCCTATAAAAAGGATTACATTCTAGATATTATGCTGGGCCAGTTGAATGCAGCCACAAAAAGAAACTTAAAAAAATGTTTTATAGATTGTTTTAAAATTTATTTCAATCCAATGCATATTATTATACAACTATTTATAATTAATTATTGTTCTTATTTTTTTAGTCTTGATAAAATTCCTAAAAAAATAATAATGAATAAAAATAAAATTCGTTTTATTCGAAAAATTATTAATTAAATTTTTTTTTTGCATAATAATTTATTTAAAAAAATAGCTTCATATGTTCCAATAAATTAAATTAAATAACAGCATTGGGACTTTAAATTACTTATGATAGGAAAAAAAAACTTTTTTTTCGGCTGCTTAAGTGGATACAATTTATTCTTAGTTATTGTTCTTAATTTTTTTAGTCCTAATAAAAAATATTTATGAATGAAAATAAAATTCTTTATTCAAGAAATTATGATTTAAGCTCTTTTTTATGCAATAATTTATTCAAAAAATACATTTCAGATGATTTATTTAGAAATTTTTTACAAATAAAGTAAAAATTTCTAAATCTAGATACAGCTGACGTTTTTGCCTGAGATTTAGTGTATGATAAATGGCCTTATAAATAAAAAAAAATCCAATGCATAGTTTTTTGTAAATAAAAATAACAAAACAATTAATTTACATAGCGGAATAAATTAAAAGAACTCGACAACATTACTTTGAGAGAACAATGACTGTTCTTTTAGAATTTTGAACTGCGGTGAAAATATTTGCGTCAATGTATTCACCAGCTATAAAATGCTTGTAATGGAGACACAATCTGGTCATAGGCTGTTTGACTTCTAACACTGAAAAAAAAAGGTTTGATGTGTTTATTAATTTCGTAACTACTTTTTCATTTGAAATTTTCTTTTTGAAAACAATTTATGAGCTTTAGTAGTATTAAGTTTGGAAATTTGCATTTTTTGATATTCTCTTAAAATAAGGTTAATTCTTAGAAAAAAAGAATCCTGATTGTCGATATTAATTATATTTAACTTTATAATACAAGGAGGAAAATTTCTGTTTAAATTACTTTATGGTAATGACATTTCCGGCAATTAAAAATATAGTTCAAGAAATAAAAATAAAAATACCCTCTATTTAAACTTATTTATCTGATAATTTTTCTGTTATTATGATAACAGTTTACCCGAAATTCTAATATTCAAAATTATAGTTCTTATTATCACTCGATTTATAAAGGAATACACAACGAAAAAGTAAATTTTACCGAAGAAATGTTTTTTTTATGTGTAAGGTATCATGATAAAACTTCCACATTTACCAAATTTTATTACATATTATAAAACCAATTTTTATTGGTAAGTTTACCAAAATCATTACCAAAGCACTAAGTAAAAGTTAATTGGTTTCTTAGTAATCCAATGAGAGTCAGAAACACGGTAAATTTTACCATATTTTAAAAATTTTGAACATATTTTTTTCGTCTTTATTTTACCCAAAAAAATTGACGGTTTTAATATTGATTACAGCATGGAGGTAACAAAGTTTTACAATGAGATTTCACCAGTCAAAATTTCATTTGCGGAAGCTTTTAGAATTGTGAAATCTTGCAAAATTATGCTAAATAGTTAATCAAGATTCTTACCAGAAATAATATCCGTAATGACCAGATCTTGATCGTTATGGCTGAAGGATATGAACGCGTCGAAAATTTTATCCCTGTCGATATCTTTTTCCTTTACCCATATAACTCCATGTGCATAGAGCCATACATCAATATTCAGTTTATACCTCGTATGCAAAATCTTCAAAATGGTGATTACCAAGAAAAAAACTGTTGAAACAGAAAAAAAATAAATTGTATTGAATTCGTATTGCTTTTATGATCAAAATATAAATGTTTAGAAACATTTGAAATAAGCATTTTAAGAAAAGTCGTTGTGCATTAAAATTTGAAGTTCTATTTTATACAAGGTACCTAATATATTTTAAGGTTATCTGCAGCCAAAAGCAATCACCATAAGAGTGTAATTTTTGGATGATGGCATATTGCAAATGTGAGTGAGTTGATAATGGGTAAACACATGTCGAATGTCACTTTAAGTCAAGTTCTTCTGTTGTCAGGACTCATCAGATCCTTTAAATCCTGAACAGCTTTTAAGCTTCCTCTTCTAACTAACTGATTTTAGACGATTTTAATAGATCCTTTGCTCTTATGGATCTTCCTAATAACTGTATTTTAAAAAATCCTATATAGTTCCTTAAAACATAAATATATGATAACTAAAGTGCATAAATTTTTGACATCCTTTTCAATAATGGTTTCAAAAAAGTTTTGTTTACTTACATACAAATAATATGATTCCTAATTGAAATCATTTTATACAATGATGTCAAAAATGTGAGTGAGTTGAGAATGGCTTAAAGTGACATGTCGAATGTCACTTTAAGTCAAGTTCTTCTGTTGTCATGACTCATCAGATCCTTTAAATCCAGAACCTCTTTCAAGCTTCCCTTTCAAATAAACTGATTTTAGACCATTTTAATACATCCTTTGCCCTTATGGATCTCACTAATTATTGTATTTTAAAAAATCCTACATAGTTCTTTGAATTTATATATAAATGTATGATACCTAAAGTGCATAAATTTTTGACTTCATTTTCAATAATGGTGTAAAAAAAGTTTTGTTTACTTACATACAAATATATGATACCTAATTGACATAATTTAATACAATGATGGCAGAAATGTTCTAATCCACATAAAATAAATATATGATACCTAGTAAGGGTAATTTTGAAATGATTCCAGCGCATGTTGCATATGAATATACATAAATAAAGCAAATGAAATACAGATAAGTACAATAAGGTTAATGAAAATTTTATGTTTTGTAATTTAAAGTTGCGATTGAGCACAGAGTGCGATGTGTTTTGAAAAATTTATAACTAATATTACTAATGAAGGAAATGGAAAGAAATTTCTGGAAATATGCTGTGAAAGTGCTGTTTTTTCTATCAGAATTTATTTGTATGCAGCTAAACATGAAAACTGAAAGTTTAGTTTTTTTGTAAGTTTTGCGAAAACTAAAGTATTTGCATAAACAACGAAGTAAATTTATTTAATCTATTATTATAATAACTAAAAAATCTACTTGAAGTGAATCTATTGCTATAATAACTAAAAAATCTACTTGAAAAATGATCAAAATTTTTATAGCCTTAAGACTGCAATTTTTTATAAACATAATGAACCCACGTTATCGGCTTAATATCTTCTCCGATGATAATATTACATTATGGGACCATGTGAATTCATAAAGTAGTTTTATTTGAATGTTTTAAAAACTAAAAAAAGAATGTCAATAAGGCTCAAAATTTTTTTAAAATAAAGTTTACAAAATAATAAGAAAATTGCTACATTGTAAAAAATTCTGGATCAAACTGCTGTATTAAATACCAGCACTAACTAATTTATCCGTAAAATAT